TGGATTTGAGATATGAAAAGAACCTTAGAGGTCAGCCTAGCCACCCGCCCTTCCCTTTTATAAAATAGCATATTGATGGTGAGGACCAATGAGGTAAACTAAATTTTCTGAGCTTACATGATCAATTGACAGCAGAGCAGGGGCTAGGGCTCAGGTGTCCACCTCCCAGTTTGGTATTCTTTACATTCAATGATCCTGTCCCTTAGTCTTAGGAGCTTGTGCAAACCACTTTGCCTCTGAGAGCCCAGCTGTCTCATCTATAAAATGTAAATAGACTGTACACTAACTAAAGAAAAAGGCAGCTGGGAAATAAGACCTCTTGAGGGACCTTCTAGTTTCCAATCAACCAGTCCACAAATATTTTTAAATACCTAACAGCAAGTAATGGCTTATCCAGCCAAAACTAATTTAAATTAATTTACATAAATAAAGGCTTTATTTTCCTCCCATTATAGGAAGTCAGGAGGTAGACCCAATAGCTAGTATTAGTCCAGTAGTTTCATGATGCCATGATGGACCCAAGCAACTCTTCCTTTCTATTTCATCATATTTAGTATTGCCTTCTTATCCACATTACTGTTGCCTCATGGTTGCAAGATGGCTTCTGCAATCCAGATGTCACATTCTTTTTCAGACTTTCATTTAATACTTTTAAAATACCAAACAGGTAATGAGGTACTTTGTTCTTGCAGCCATGTTAGCTATAGTTCTGTAGATGTATAGTTCTGTAGATCTTCCCATCAAACTGAGGAAGATCATTCCCTTTAGAGTTGATGAGAGCTTTTTGGTTTAAATCATGAATGAGTGTTAAGTTTTGTCAAATGTTTTTTCTACATTGATTGAGATCATGTGAATCATATGAATTGTCTACTTTACACTGTTTATGAAATGAATGACATTGACTGGTTTTAAAAGGTTGAACCAGCCTTGCATTTCCTGAAGAAATTCCACTTGGTTAAGCTATCTTACTCTTTCTAGATATTGCTGAATTTGGTTTGCCAATATTTTATTAGAATTTTTGCATCTGTGTTCATAAAGGATATTGATGTGTAATTTTCTTTCCTTTTTGTTTCTGGGTATCAGGATCATTTTGACCTTATGAGTTAGGAAGTAGTCCCTCCTATTTCTCTGAATTTATATAAGATTGGCATAATTCCTTTCTTAAAAGGTTGATAAAATTTGCTTTTCTTATCCTAACTTCTCTCTTTTGTTAAGATTTTATTTATTTATTTATTTTAGAGAGAAAGAGAGAGCACGCATGAGCTGGGGGAGGAGCAAGGGGGGAGTGGAAAAGAATCTCAGGCAGACTCCCCACTGAGCGTGGAGCCCATTGCAGGGCCCGATCCCACAACCCTGAGATTATGACCTGAGCCGAAACCAAGAGTCAGTTAACTGACTGAGCCACCCAGGCGCCCCTCTTATCCTAACTTCTTAAGATGGAAACGTAGATCATTGATTTCAAATATTTTTTCATTACTAAAATAAGCTTTTCAAGCTATACATTTCTCCCAGGCTGCTGCTTCAGCTGCATTCCATGAATTTTGATGCATTTTCGTTATCATTCTATTTGTAATGTTTTTTAATGCTCTAGAACTGTGCCTAAAATAAAATACTCAGTAAATGTTATCTCCAGTTGGCTTAGTTTTTTGTTTCTTTTGTTAATAAGTGAAAATAAATTGATGGATCACTCTGACGGTTGTGTTCCTTCCCCCTTCAGAGCATCTTTGCTGTTTCTACTACACTACATCTTCAGATAGACCCAGATTTCCTCCTTCTTCTAGTTAATTCCAGTTCATCTAGAGGGTGTGACCTCAAACACCACTTCCTCAAAGAGGTCTTCCCTGACAGCTTAGAATGGGATGGTCCTCTCATGTGCTGGCTGAATAGTGTCCCTCAAAAGTTCATATCCACTCAGAACCTGTGAATGTGAACTTATTTGGGAATAAAGTCTCTGCAGACATAATTACATTAAGAAATTATATTGGATTATGTTGGGCCCTAAATCCATTATGACTGGTGTCCTTATAAGAAGAGGGAAATCTGAACACAGAGAGACACACAGGAGAACAGCACGTAACAAAAGAGACAGAGTCTGGAGAGATGCATCTACAAACTGAGAAATGCCAAATGCCAAATGCTAGTAACTACTAGGAACTAAGAAGAGGCAGGAAAAGATCCTCCCCTAGAGTCTTCAGAGAGATCATGGCCCTGCCAACACCTTGATTTCAGACCTTTGGCCTCTCGAACTGTGAAAGAAGAAATTGCTGTCATTTTAAGCACCTAGTTTGGGGTAATTTGTTAGGGCAATTCTAGGAAACGAATACACCGTGTTACTTGTTTTCATACTTTCTTTATACTTTTCTTTCCTAGCTTTTATCAGATAATTATTACATATGAATTACCAAGAAAGCTGATGGAATAATAACACTAGTCTGTCATTTTAGTGGGGGCCTCCTTAAGAGAGACCACCATAGTCCAAACCAATATTTCAGATGGTAAGGGCTTTGAAAGGCACATCATTTTGAGGGAGACTGGCCCTAAAATCACAACATGTTGGTAGCTAACTACTTCAGCTTCTAAAAACTAGACTTAAGTATCACAGAGGTGCTTAATGTGTAAGCTATCCAAACTGGACATTTTTTAAATAGAAACAGATTGCTACCAAAGGGCACTGACGTAGGAGTCAGAATCATTGGTATAGCTTCCCCTCTTTGTGTCCAGGGACCTTGGGCAAGTCACTCAACCTCTCTGGGTCCAGGTTCCTCAACAGCAAAAGGGGGTAGTTTGGACCAGACAGTTTCCACAGTCCCTCTGGCTTGAACATTCTGTGGCTTTATGATTCTAATGTGGAGCAATAGTAAAAAGATAGTATTTACTTCTTTATTTTTTAAGATTTATTTATTTATTTGAGAGAGAGAGAGAGCAGGAGGAGGGGCAGAGGGAGAAGGAGAGAGAGAATCCCAAGCAGAATCCCTGCTGAGCACATAACCTGACTCAGGGCTCAATCCCAAGACCCTGAGATCATGACCTGAGCTGAAATCAAGAGTCAGCTGCTTAACTGACTGAGCCACCCAGGTGCCCCAAGACGGTATTTACCAGGCTCCCTGTTCACTACTAGCCTGCTTCCACGAACAGTGTCAGAATCCAGGGATGAAACATTACTCCAAGGAGATGACCCAGGCTGGTGCTGGACCAAGAAGGATTCTGCTTGAAATATGTAACTACTAGTTCTGTCCACGTTTGTTTTACTTGACGGAAGTAACGATGTAGATATTTCCAGGGCTCTCATTTAAAAAAAAAAAAATTAAAGTGGCTAGGCTAGCTGGTCACTTCCTATCCTTGGACAGCAATGTATTCACCTGTAGAAAAAGAGGTAAAGGAGATGGAAGCTGTGATTCTCAATGTCTCTTCCAGTGCTGTGACTTCAAGGCAGTTTTTTGTCAAGCTAGAGAGAGAGAGTGGCCTTGAACTAAGTACCAGGTCATCAGGTCAATCTCAGGAACTGGTGTTCACCCTACTATTTCTTCTCAGAACCATTGTGTGGGGGCAGTCTGTCTCCCCCAGAACATGCTTTTGGCAAGGATGAAATCTTAGCTCTTACTAATTATGTGGACCTTGATAGAATCACTGGATGGTTTGAGCCTAAGCTTCCCCATCTATAAAACAGGGATAGCTACTTATTTTGCTTAGCATAATACTATCTAGCTCCATCCACTTTGTTGCAAGTGGCAAGATTTTGTTCTTTTTTATGGCTGAGTAATATTCCATCACATATATATATATATATATATATATATATATATATATATATATATCTTCTTTATCCTCTCACTTGGGCTGTTTCCATAGTTTGGCTATTGTAAACATTGTTGCTATAAACATTGGGGTGGGTGTATCCCTCCGAATTAATTTTTTTTTTATTCTTTGGGTAAATACCTAGTAGTGTAATTGCTGGATCAGGGTAGTTCTATTTTTAAGTTTTTAAGAAACCTCCGTACTGTTTTCCAGAGTGGCTGCACCACTTTGCATTCCCACCAATAGTGCATGAGGGTACCCCTTTCCCTACATCCTTGCCAACACCTGTTGTTTTTTCTATTGTTGATTTTAGTCATTGTGACAGGTGTGAGGTGGTATCTCATTGTAGTTTTGATTTGTATTTCCCTGATGATGAGTGATGTTGAACATCTTTTCACGTGTCTGTTAGCCATCTGTATGTCTTCTTTGGAAGAATGTCTATCCATTTCTTCTGCCCCCTTTTTAATTGGATTATTCGGTTTTTGGATGTTGAGCTTTATAAGTTCTTTACATATTTTGGATACTGACCCTTTATCAGATATGCCATTGCAAATATCTTCTCCCATTCCATAGGTTGCCTTTTAGTTTTGTTGATTGTTTCCTCACTGTGCAGAAGCTTTTTATCTTGATGAAATCCAAATAGTTCATTTTTGCTTTTGTTTCCCTTGCCTCAGGAGACATATCTAGTAACAAGTTGCTATGGCTGATGTCAAAGACGTTACTGCCTGTGTCCTCTTCTGGGATTTTAATGGTTCAATCACTAAATTGTACATCTGAAACTGATAGCACACTGTATGTTAACTAGAATTTAAATAAAGCCTTAAAAAACAAACAAAAAAAAAAACAGGCATAGCAACTGGTAAAGTTGTAAACCTGTCAAGAGTTCAGCGAAAATGCCTAGGTTTTCGAGTGTTATTTTCCATAAACCTTGGGGGCACAAAGGAAAGACAACCGTGGTGTCGTAAGCACACTGCCGCTCGCTGACTACCAGACCAGCTACGACTGGCGGTAACCAAGCGACACTACCCGTTACTTCTGTGATACCACTGTCACTTTTGGCACTCACTCCGCCCAAACCCCGCCGCGGTGATTACCCACAGCTCTGCCCTCCACGCCACTCTTCTCGGCTCAGGCCCCGCCCCTGGCTCAAGCCCCGCCCCCGGGGCTGCGCTTCCACCCCGCCTCCCGGCGTGCGCGCTCCCTGCGCTGGCGGTGACGCGCACGGGCCGGCGTCGGGGCGGCGGTGCTGCTCCCGGAAAGGAGCGGAGCCTCCAGGAAGCCGGTCCCGCGTTGCCGCCGCCACCACCGCGCTGCGGTGGCCGTGATGTCCTCCGGTCACAGCTTCCCGCTGCCAGGAGCTCCGGCCGCCGAATCGGGTGCTGCCGAGCAGGTGAGGCGGCCTTACCGGCGCGGACGAGGGGAGGGCGGAGAAGCGGCTGGCGGAGCTGGGACGGTTGAAGTGTGGGGCCCGGCGCGGCGGCGAGGGCCGCGGATGAACCCCTCTGTCCGGGGAGCCCTCCCCGCGCGGGCGGGCGGTCTTCCTGGAGTCGCGGCGCTTCCGCCGCCCGGGCCGCGCGGCCACATCCGGGCGCCCCGGCGGTCAGCCCCGGTGACCCGGGCAGCAGGTGCTCTCCCCCGGCCCCTGGCAGGAGAAACTGGCATGGTGCTGTCGCGCCTGCTCCGGTGAGCACGCTGGGTTTTCGCTCTCTCACACTCAGTGTGGGCGGATCTGGCCCCCACTGGGGAGAGACCTGGCGAGGGAGAGGGGATGCTGCACCGACTGCTTCCTGCCTGCCGCCTCATCCTAACATTGGTACTTTCAGCCTCAGTTTTGCTTTGCTCTGCTCTCACTAAGTTTTATGCTTTAGATTGCCCGTTGGAAAAATAGAACTAACTGGGCAATAAAGTGATTGTGAGAGCAGTGTTTCTCAAACCTGAGTAATGCGTGGACACCTTTTAAGGACACAGATCGCATTCTGTAGAATATATCCCAGAACTTACAAGAGCCCCCAGACCCGTTAGATGAAGACTGGTGCAGAGCATTTTCAGAGAACATTTATCACTATTAGGAAGGAAAAGAGATGCTTTACAGTTCTGGAACTTCAATGCTAGAAGATAAACTAGAAATCATTAAAGAATTCTAAATTAGAGACTCAAATCCCTAGTTTGATTTCACATGGCAGCGTTTACCGTGTCTTGCTTTGCGTAATGAAATTTTTCCAGCCTTGGAGGCTTAAAAGAATCATTCTTTGTGATATCTTGTATTTGATGTTATCTTGTCTTTGTATTAGGTTTATTCAGTTTGACAGATTAGCAGAATTTTAGAATGGGGTACTAATTTGCATAAGTGGTTTAATGATTTCTTTCTGTGTTTACCTTGGCATTGATTAATCACTTGTGTCTGTTACATATTGAATCTATGGTTTACATTCTTCCGGGTCTAACTGGAAGGCCTGATCTCAACTCCTGTGTCTATAGTCTAGAAAGAAGGAAAAAAGTAATAAAAGTTGATCTAAGGATTTATATCCTGTACATATTTATTCAACATATTTAAAATAAACTACGCTTGGGGTGCCTGGCTGGCTCAGTCAGTAGAGCTTGCGACTCTTGATCTCGGGGTCATCAGTTTAAGCCCCGTGCTGGGCATGAAACCTACTAAAATAAATAAATAAATAAAATAAAACAAACTACACTTGAATAAAGAGAAGATTCGGAGTGTGGGAAAACATTAGAAAGTAAAACAGGCTAAATCTTGTCAAAGAAAAATGTTGGACCAGTGCTTTGAAAGAAGTGTAATATTAAGAGTAGAACATACTAGAAGTGATATTAGTAAAGGCCAGAGGCAAGAATGAGAAGAGTGTATGTGGACAAGAAGAGACCTACCTCACTACAGCAGAGAGATGTTATCTGGGGCTGAGGAGAGAAGAAGCTGATAAAATTAGATGGGGCCAGTTGATGGATGTTAAGATTTCAGGTGCCACACAGGGAAGTTGGTGTTGACCTGTAGGCTCCAGAAGTTTCTTCAGCTGATCATATTTTGAAGGCAGCATTTCACACAGGTGTTTCTGAAGTGTCGTGTCAGAGTAAAGGCAGAAGGTAGTTGATCTGCCTAGAGTCTGTCTTGAGGTAGTGATGTCTGCTGTGGTGATTTTAGATGTGTGAACTAACTGATTTAGATGTGTGTTTGAAAAAGACTTGACAGGACCCAATGAATGATACAAGATGTAGACACACAGATCAGTAGGATTCAAGGTTAAGAACCAGGTGACCCCAGCCAGTAGTGATATCCCACTTGGCCTAGAGAATTTGGACGGTGGTCTTAGTTTCTGCCAAAAGATTGTGACCCCAGATTTGGACTAAACAAGTTGTAGTAACAGGGTGTCAGTAAGCTCAGGATGTGGAATTGGAATTTGAGGAAAGTCAGAGTTGCAGATTTCAGAAATTGCAGAGGTGATGCAGGAAAAGTGTGACCAGTAAAAGGTCATTTAAAATAGGGACCAGTATTTTGCAAATGAATAGTGAGAGGTAGGAAGAGGTTTGATTAGGACTTGCTATTGAAAAATAAAATTTTTTAAATTAAATATTGAAGAAAATGTAGATCATAAATGCAACTATGTGCATTCTTCTAAAACAAAGAATGAATTAAGTTATTTTGACGTCTTTCCCCACAACCCAGTGAGGCACAGCATCCTGCACTTCCCTTTGGCTTCTCATTCTCCCAAGGCAGTTGTTTCTTTTTCTTTTCTTTTCTTTTCTTTTTTAAGATTTATTTATTTTAGAGAGAGGAGGGAGAGAAACACATGTGCATGTGAGCAGGGGGAGAGGCAGAGCGAGAGAATCTCCAGCAGGCTCCCCGCTGAGCACAGAGCCCCCGCTGCAGGGCTCCATCCCATGACCCATGAGGTCATGACCTGAGCCCAAACCAAGACTCGGACACTCAACCTACTGAGCCACCCAGGCGCTCTGACAGTTGTTTCTTCTTTTTCTTTTTCTTTTCTTTTTTTTTTTAAGATTTTATTTTATTTATTTGACAGAGGGGGAGCGGCAGGGAGAGGAAGAAGCAGGCTCCCTGCTGAGCAGTGACCCCCCCCCCAACATGGGGCTCGATCCCAGGATCATGGGATCATGATCTGAGCCGAGGGCAGACGCTTAACCGACTGAGCCACCCAGGTGTCCCCTGACAGTTGTTTTTTTCTTACAAAGTTCTGCCTAAGTGTGTGTGGGCTCCTTTGATTGTTCAAGGTCCTCTTGTAATCCTGTGATATTTATATCATTCTTTTCTTCATGTCAGCTTACCTTTCCGTACTCAGGTCTAGCTCTTCCAGAGTCTCATTTGTCTATGATTTTGTTTGCTTGTGACTTGAGAATTTGCTAATGTCTGTCTCATTGCATGCTGCATTTTTCACCAGAAGAGCCATTTTACTTTGCAATTGATTTATATTGTTTTCACTGTTTTCCTTAGGACTAACAGTGAGAAACTGACAGAGACATTGAACCATGCATGACCTTATGGACTTTTCTCCACTAGAGAATGTTCAGCTAAGGAGGGCCTCCCCACTAGCTGAAATCATGAGTCAGTGCAACTCTCTTGGTGGTAGGTCTAACACAATTTAAGCCTTTTAAAAACATGGCAGTTTTATGTAACATTTGAGTTTGCCTTCCTAAACTCTGGTGCCAAGATTCTTAGCCACAAATACAATTGGAGTTTACATTTTGAGATCAAATTACCATATTGCTGACTGCTGGGTAATAGTCATACTTTTGTCCTAAATAAAAGTAATTACTGCAGCAGTTTATAAGCTGTCCTATTTTCCTCTCTCTTTAAGCACCAATTTTGTCACTTACAAAAATATCTATTTATCCTTTTTGTCAAAATCCTCACGTATCTCAAAAAAAAGTTCTAAGACAAACACCAGATTAAGTAATGTTTACCAAGTTTGCTATGATCATTCTAAACAGTGCAACTTCCTTGAAATGTGTTCTCTTTTCCCTTCTTCCATTGAAAGTGTACCTCTCACCTCCAAGAATCTTTTCCTGTTCCCTAGCCTCCAGTGTGCTCTTCTCTGAACTGTTATAGCAAGAGTCCGGATAATTTAACATTGCCTTTTGTTATTTTCTTGATTATTTTACGGGTATTAGAATTTTCTCTGTAATCAGTCTGCACACTCCTTGAAAACTGGAGCCAGGTTTGTTAATCCTCTGCTCCCTTCCTATCCCCTCCAAGCTCGCATCATTGAATCATTAAAGGTCTTTCTTCCCCCAGGTCCTTGACTTTAAGCTGTTAATTAGAACATTCTTTTCTTTTGTTCTTAGTTCAGCTCTCGCATAATTATCGATTTTTAAAAATGTTCAGATTCGAATTCCTATGTCATGGTTTCTAACATAAGCTTTCTTGATATATCCAGAAGAGGATTTGATGCTGGAAACTGGAGATCTCAGTTGAAGGTAGCTTGTTGTTTTGTTTTTTTTAAGATTTTATTTATTTATTTATTTGACAGAGAGAGACACAGCGAGAGAGGGAACACAAGCAGGGGGAGTGGGAGAGGGAGAAGCAGGCCTCCCGCCGAGCAGGGAACCTGATACAGGGCTCGATCCCAGGATCCTGGGATCATGACTTAAGCTGAAGGCAGACGCTTAACAACTGAGCCACCCAGGCGCCCCTGAAGGTAGCTTGTTAAAAATAGTTTTGTTGTCTCTTCTGCTGATAAAATTCATCTATGCCCTTTAAGAAATAAAGGCAAACCTAGGGAAGAAAAATAGATGATCTGTTATCTCACTACTTCGCAGTAACCAACCACTATTAACATTTTGGTTTCTGTCCTTCCATTCCCCTGCTCTATGTGTGATGTGTTTTTTTCACGTAATATATCATGGATATCTGTCTCTGTCAATAAATACAGTTCTGCATCATCACTTTTAATAATTATATTGTGCTCCACCACTGCAGAAATGGTCCACATGTAATGTAGCCCACCCCCTATAATGCACATCAGTAACCATGTTTTGCTATTATACCCAATACTATCATGAATTTCTTTACATGTTTTAATTTTTTTAACGATTTTATTTGAGAGAAAGCTAGAGCAAGAGAGTGCACAAGCGGGGTGGGAGGGGCAGAGGGAGAGGGAGAAGCAAACTCCCTGCCGATACAGGACTCAATCCTGTATCATGATCCCAGGGTCCTGGGATCATGACCTGAGCCCAAGGCAGATGCTTAACTGACCAAGCCACCCAAGTGCCCTACACATATTTTAGTGAATTTACCCTGTTATTTCCTAAGGTTGAATTTCTGTGTGATAGAGCACAGGGTAAGCATGTTTAAAATTTTTATATATGTTACCCATATACCCATACCCCAGATGGTTAGTACCTATTTAGATTCTCCATGACAGTATTCCCCTTTGTTAGCAAAGTATTGTCAGACTTTAATCTCCACCAATCTGATAGTGGTGAAGTCTTGTTTTTCTTTATGTTTCTCTAAATACAAATGAAGTTATATCAGCCATTTGTATTTCTTATTTGGTCAATTTCCAATTATCCTTGCTCATTTTTCTATTTCAGTGTTTCTCTTATTTATTTAGAAGAACCTTTTATATATCAGGGATATTTACCTTTTGTTATAGATGTTTCAGGTAACTTTCCCAAGCCTTGTGTATTTGGGAAGGGATTTTTTTTTAAAACACTCAGAAGTCTTAAACTCATATAGTCTGTTTTCTTGCATTTATGGATTGAGACATTAATGTCAGTTGTAGAAAAGCCTTACTCATTCTGAGTTGGGTACATTTTCATCTTACATTTTTATGCATATTTTTAACATTTAAATTTTTTTTTTTTTAAGATTTTATTTATTTGACAGAGAGAGACACAGCGAGAGAGGGGACACAAGCAGGGGGAGGGGGAGAGGGAGAACCGGACTCCCCGCTGAGCAAGGAGCCCGATGTGGGGCTCGATCCCAGGAGCCTGGGATCATGACCTGAGCCGAAGGCAGACGCTTAACGACTGAGCCACCCAGACACCCCAACATTTAAATTTTTGAACCATTGGAATTCTCATAAAAGTTGTGATGTAGTAATCTCACCATATTCAAATGCTGAAAGATAGCTACTTTATAAAAACACATTAAAATTCATTTAAACATCTCAGTAATTGACATTTTTTTTCTTTTTTGTGTAAACTTTTAAATCACAAATATTGTTTGTCCCAAATGTTGGGTACATGGTCTGATATGGATACCATATTGAAACCTGAATGAATTAAAGTGATTTTTTCCCCTTCTGTCAAGTAGGCATCATTAATACTTTTTACTCTAATATGTGTGTCTGTGTGTGTGTGTGTTTTATCCCCTCTGCTACATTATAAATTATTTCAGGGCTGGGTCCATACTTGATTCATCTTTACTTCTCCCATTTCCAGCCATCCATGAAGCAGACAATACTTGTGTGACAGGCACTGGTCACTGGGGAAACAGAAGAATAAGAGGCTGCCCCTGCCAACGAGAGGCTTGCCACGTAATGAGAAAGTCAACCACAAGTATAATACAATAGCCCACTAATGTGATGAGCAAATGCTCTGGGGGTATGAGGACTAGGGACGCTTTCACAGAGGAATCAGGCCTAACTTGTGTTAGTCCACCAACAGATGGACCCGAAAGAGAGAAGCATTCTAGAAAGGTAGAGGAATGTGGGGCCTTTCAGTGACTCACTGCTTGTGTTTAGTATGGCTAAAGCAGAGGGTACATATCTGTCTAGTCTGTTGGGATAGGACTAGAAAGACAAGGACAAGATCAGTGCTGTCTAATGCAGAAGCTCCATGTGCCTGTTGAGCACTTGAAATATGGCTAGTGCAACTGAGGAACTGCATTTTTCATTTTAATTCCTTTAAATAGCCACACATGGCAATGGCTCCCCCTGTTGAACAGCATAAGACTAGACCGTGAGAGCCCTTCTTTACCATCCTAAGGAGTTAGGACTTCTTCCTGAGTGGGAGAGAAAAGTGGAGAGGTGGGGAAAAAAATGGGGCGCCTGGGGTGGCTCAGTTGGCTAAGCATCTGACTCTTGATTTCAGCTCAAGTCATGATCTCAGGATTGTGGGATCAAGCCCCACGTCATTGCAGAGTCTGCTTGTCCCCCCTCCCTCTGCTCCTTCCCCCTGTTTGTGCTCTCTCTCTTTCTCTTTCTTTTAAATAAATAAATAAAATCTTAAAAAAAAAAAAAGTTGGGAGGTGGGGAGGTGTCAGGATTCCCAGTTGTTTTGGAAAGATCACTCTAGTGTGTAAGTTCTTAACCTTTTGGGTCCCAGTTGACTTTTTGCCAGGCACTTTCCTAGGGTTTTTTGGTACTGGGAATGCAGCAGTCAACCAAGCTGACAGAAATGTGGCCCCTTGTGGAACTTGATACATGAGCAAGAGAAATGCAAACACACACACAGTAAGTTAGACAAGGATAAGAGTGTGGGTTCTCATGCTGGAATCTCAGCTTTTTTGTATACAATCATCTTCTGTTAGCTGTGTGACCTTAGACAAGTTACTTAGCCTTTCTGCCTCTCCTGTAAAATGTGATGCAAATAGTGCCTACCTTGTGGGTCATTAAGAGGAATAAATTAATATTTGTAAGTAAGCAGGACCTCGCACATAAAAAGCTCTATTTAATAAATAAGTAAAAGCTAAGGGAAAAAATAAAAGAGATGGGTGGAGAGGATAGCTTGACAGATAGATTGGGTGGCCAGGGAAGGCCTCCCTGAGAAGGTGACACTGAGTGAAGACCTGGGGGAAGTGAGAAAGTGAGTCACCCAGATGATTTCTAAGCAGAGAAAGCAGCGCATTCAGAGGCCTGGAGACCAGACAGCACCTGGCATGTTTGAAGACAGCCAGGTCTACGGCCATACCACCCTGAACGTGCCCGATCTCGTCTGATCTTGGAAGCTAAGCAGGGTCAGGCCTGGTTAGTACTTGGATGGGAGAAGACAGCCAGGACGCCAGTATGGCTGGTATGGAGTGAAAAGGGAGAGCAGACGATGAAATCAGAGCAGTGACAGGTGGCAAGTTCCCGTGGACCACGGAAGTCAGAGTAAAGCCTTCGGCACGTACTCTTAAGTGCAGTGGGAGCCACTGGAGGATTTCAAGTATGAGAATAAGGGGATTATGGGCCTGAGCAGGGATGGGGGGAGTGTCAACTTCACGTGAAGAATCTGTGCTTAGGGGCACCTGGGTGGCTCAGTCGTTAAGCATGTGCCTTCAGCTCAGGTCATGATCCCAGGGTCCTGGCATCGAGCCCCACGTTGGGCTCCCTGCATAGCAGGGAGCCTGCTTCTTCCTCTGCCTGCCGCTCCCCCCGCTTGTGCTCTCTCTCTGTGTCAAATAAATAAAATATTAAAAAAAAAAAAAAAAGTGTGCCTAAAGGTCTTGGATGAAGAATTGGAGAGCCACTGGGTTGACACTGCAGGTAGGAGACTTAACTTGTTAGGCTGCTGTTCTGATAGACCGGGCAAGAGATGAGAAAAGGAACAGATTTTAGATAAAGTGAGGTTAAAAAAATGGAGGGAGGAATCCGTAAGAAACTGGCTGTGGAAGGTAAAGGAGAACAAGGGGTCAGGCCTGACTCCCTCGTTTCTGGTTTGAGCAGCTTGGAGGAATTGAGACTGAGATTGTAGGGTGGGCCAGGTTAAGGGAAAAGGGAGGGAGGATTGCAGTACAAGTGTGGGTTTTAGAACTGTTTTTCATGGGCCGCTGCAGTGTTCAGATGGAGGTGCTTGAAGATCTCTGTAGCTGTAGCTCAGAAGAGAAGCCTGGGGTGGAGAAAGAAGTTTTTGAGTGATCTGCTAATTGAAGCCGTCAATGAGATTGATCAGGAGCAGAGATCAGAGTTGGGGGAGAATGGAGCCTAGCCAGGAAGAAGCCCAGGGCACGGCGGAGCAGCCAGGCCTTTAGGAAGGAGACCTAGGGGCATCCTTGCTGCTCAAGGGCTAGGAAGCGGGCAAGGGCAGACGGCTGTCTTGAGAGGCCTGGAAGAGGTAAAGCCACAAAACCAAGGAAGATGGAGGTCTTTGGATCCAGTAGGTCAGAAGGAGGCCCTGGCTGTCAGCCCCCACTAGCCCTTGTTTTCTCTGCGAATTGAGGCCTGGGGGCTGAAGGAGTGCGAGGTGGTAGCGGGGGATGCACCGGAGCGGACTCAGAGCACAGTACCTTGTGTGGTTCTTTGTGCGTAAGCTGACCTCTCTCTTCTGTGAGTCCATATTTCAGATTCCCATTCAGTGAATTTTTCTGCCTACTGCCCCCACCCCAAGTCTTCCTTAATTCAGTACCTATTTGATGAGCTGGTATTTTGGGGTCACTGATTGACTTTTAGGTGGAGAGCACTAACTAGTTGCTAAACTATTACCATCTCTTTCCAATTTTAGCGAGCGCCAGACTATTACCATCTCTTGATTTAGGCCTATATCTCTGACAGCATGAAATTGACTTAGAAGTGTGGTGCTCAGAATAGGCCCTTCCACCAGCTTCAGTGCAAGGTTCATGTCACAGATTATGTGTGGTTGGATTTAAACCCGTACTTGGTAAAAGAACATAGATGTCTTCTTGGATTGTGCCATCTTTATGACTTTTCTCACTTTCTGGAACAGGAAGTCTCTAACTCCAGGAGGACCCCATTATTTCTGTAATGGTGTGTGAGGACTGACTCCTAGAACGTTGCCTGGCCTTGGACCCATCAGCATGGGGAGGTGAGTGATGGTGTCTCATCACCGGTACTTGTAAAACCTGAGGTTTTGGTGCCACAGGAGCAGATCTTGAAAGGAAAAAAAGATCTGAATTCCAAGTGAAAAGTGTCCAAAATTATGCTACACTTCTGTTTAACAACTTTGTTCTTCCAGGCCTCACTGGGGTGCCTGTTACAGAAAGTGGTCATGCCAGGTGGATTCTGCAGGGGTTAACGTAGCTTACTGTGAAGGGCAGGTGTGTTGGAATCTGTGAGGGGTCGTATTAAGCACAGTATAACTGTCTGGAAGCCTTGGAGGAGTGGGCAGGGGATGACACACTCTGGAGTGGCCCAAGGACCTGCATGGAGACTAGACACTGCAGGTGGAAAACTCCGTTAGGTTAGCAGGATATCTACCCCTTCTGTGAGGTATTTTAGTCCAGGAAGCACTCTTTAAAGAAATTAACCACAAAACAATAACATCTATTCTAAACGTAGCAAGCTTTTTGTAAGCCTAATAATAATCTCTTAATCCTGACATAAATGGAGAAGAAAAGTGTTCATTTGCAAAAATGTCTCAGAAATAATTCTAAAAGCACAGGACATACAAAACTCATTTATTGACTTTATTATGGGGATGTTATTAAAGATACTGTTTGTCTGCCATTTTCTCAGTCATCACGGAGAAGTTTGCCTTGGGATTCAATGTTAAGAAAATCTTCCTCCTCCTGAGCTGTTTATATGTTTCTAATCTCATGGATAACGTTTTGGCCTCTAGGCCACCTTTACAGGCCTGTCTTATTACATGTATTCTTTGTACTGAATTGTTTCTCGGTCTCATCATCCTTAAACGGGAGTTCATTATAGATTTATATATTTATCGTATTGAACTGACTCTTGTCTCTAATTTTTTTTTTTTTTTTGGAACAAAGCATGGTACAAATAATAACCTACATAATATTGTCAAGAAAGGCAGAAAAACACAGAAGTGTCATAACCATCAGGGTGTAATTTTCATTCATGTAGTTTTATAATAATGAGTAAAATAGCAAAATAGCAATAGGGAAGATGCTGGCCTACAGATACCTCCCAGCAGGGAAACAGGTGGCTTGAGCCAAATGTCTTAACCTTGAGATCAGTTTAGGTGAGGAGAGGCCTCTTTGGAGCAGATTGCTTTAAAATCTGGTTTGTTTTTTTTTTAATTTTAGGATCGGCATCTCCTGTCTTTTTCCTGCTTCCTGGCATTTTAGCATCTCTCCAGTGGGGTGTCCTCGAATTCTGAATACCAATTTACGCCAGATTATTGTTATTAGTATCCTGGCTGCTACTGTTTCGCTTTTATACTTTTCTGTTGTTATAATCCGAAATAAGTATGGGCGACTCTCCAGAGATAAGAAGTTTCAAAGGTAAGAGAAAAAACATTTCTAGATGGGATGCTTCATTTTACATTAGGGATTAGGTTGGAATTGAAGGAGCCTGCAGCTGTAGGAAACAGAATCTGTGCCGAATATAGCATGGCAGGAAAAATTAAACTGTTGGAAACTGTTTAATCATTAACCACCAAATCCACATCGTAAGAGAATTTAAACATAAGCTTCTCCTGTGATATCTTTTAAGCTGATTTTTCAGTTAAGGTCAATAGTTTGGGAATAGTTTTATTTCTCAGAACTTGTTTGAACTTCTTAAAAGGAGTAATGACTGTGTATCTGATTTAGATTATCTTTATCACTGTCACTCATTTTGTTTTCTTTTGACTCTTTAATCATTTGGCACTTGTAAAAATGCAATTGTGGGTCAGCTCAGAATTCACAGACTTGGTGTTTATTTATTGCATTTGCTCTGTTCAGGTTCAGGATGAGAGTCTCTATCTCAGTAAAGGCGTGTGTTCATTTTTCTGAACAAGGTACTTGGCACGAGTTACTGACATTGAAGCTACAGACACCAGTAACCCCAATGTGAACTACGGTATCGTGGTGGACTGTGGTAGCAGTGGGTCTCGAATATTCGTCTATTGCTGGCCAAGGCACAACGGCAATCCTCATGATCTATTGGATATCAGACAAATGAGGGATAAAAACCGGAAGCCAGTGGTTATGAAAATAAAACCCGGTACGTAAAAGATAAATATCTGATTGATAATCGGGTTCTGTCCTTTCTCTGTGAGATCTTTCATGTCCTCCTCTCCCTCTCCCCACAGTCATTGCCCTGGTTCAGAGCTCACACCAGGACCTGATTGTTTCACTTTCTTTCCCCTCTTGTGTCCATCCCACATGAGGCAACTAACTCCTTGATAAAATATCCAAAACCATGTCTTTCTTGTGTCTCCTGCAGCATTTATCACAGTGCCTTACTCATGTGTCTACTCAAGTGTTTGCTAGTTGACATTAATTATGGAGGGATTTTTTTTTTCCCTATTTGGTAGCCATTGGTCTCTATCCCTAAAGACAGCCTAATTTCAGGTAACTCATGGATATCTGTACTCTGATACATTGGTATGTATTTCTCTTTTTTCCCTTCATTTTTAAAAAGTGCTCCAATATATTTCTTTTTTTTTTTTTAAGATTTTATTTATTTATTTGAGAGAGCGCGAGAGCGCACGTGCACAGGTGGGGGAGGGGCAGAGGGAGAGAGAGCATCTCAAGCAGACTCTGTGCTGAGTGCAGAGGGAGCCCTGAGATCATGACCTGAGCCCAAACCAAGAGTCATACACTTAAATGACTGATCCACCCAGGTGTCCCCCAATATATTTTTAATCATCTACATTATTTAATAAGAGTGACTATAGAACTTAGAAGAGCTGATGTTATTATGTCCAGTTTTTAAAGCTATCACAGTTTCTAAGTCAGTGTGCTGTGTAAAAATTGGGATTTGCTTTCTCCATTAAACAATTTAAATCGGTGGTTCTCAACCTTTTTCTGTATGTACACCATTTCCATGGGCATTGCCCCTCTGTCAGAAGTATTAGGAATGGAAGGTGTCCAGGAGTACCTTGCAATAGGCATTTTATGTCTTGATAGTTGATAATCACTGACTTAAACAGTGGACCACAGGAGTGCCTGGCTGGCTCAGTTGGAAGAGCATGTGACTCTTGATCTCAGGGTCATGAGTTCGAGCCCCATGTTGGATGTGGGGATTACTAAAACAATAAAATAAACTTAATAAAACAGAGGACCACAGATCTTAATAGAGATTCAGCACTTTTATTTCATCTTGCTAGTATGTTAAATAGTAAAATATTAAACCCAAACAACCCAAGGAATTTATCTTGTAAAATATTAGAGAATGTTGATAAAAAAATAATTAGCTTATTCTCTCCTATTTCAAATATATAAATGTAAAGGAGGCTCAGTTTTAATGATAAAATACCTTTCCTCATAAAATGGTTCCTAATGACATTGACTGTGTGCTCTTTGAGTCCTCCCCATTCTTCACTGAATAATTTAGGCCCCACTTCCTTCTTCAGGCAACCCTTAACAAGTTGATTATTCTTTGATGTTTGGGCAGCTGGGTACCAGCATATTGCTCAGAAAATCCAAAACCTCTACCTCATTTCTTAGGTTAAAGAGAGGGAACTTAATCTGAGTCTCTCATATAAGCATTGTTTTGATGTCAAAGTACATTTCCATGAACAAAGATCATCTTTTTTCTGTAAGTCTTAATGAATGACTGTGAATTTTTAGTTTTCTGTTATCCCATTCCTAAAATTTTCCTGTATTCCTAATCTAGAAACATTTTCAGGGTTAAAGTAATGTTGATCAAATAAAAAATTCACCAGAAGACTGAAAAATAGAAGTCTATAAAGCACATTGCATTTCATCTAGCTTCACATACCAGGCTCCATCAGTGATCAAACTGCTCACATGAAATAAGATAAAATCTTTCATGCCTTGGAGTTGTCCTTTGGGACATCATCCCAGGCTTAACATGGTTCTTTCTGATGCTACAGAAAGTGTTGGAAGTAGAAATTCAAGTACCTTTTTATAGCACTTCTCTGTCCTGAAGCAGGGACTCTCATGTATAGCATTTCAGCAAAGCTCTCAAAATTTCCTTACTTAATAGATTCTGGATAGGTTGGGGCTTGGCGTCTGTTAAAACAGCATTGTATGTGGAGTAAAAAAAAAATCTTGACTTTTGGTCTGTTTTCTGCTGATTGCTCTGACAAATCACTTAATCTTTCTGGATCCACAGTTTCCTAATCTGTGAAATGAGAAATTTTTGGACTTCTAAAATTTGAAGCCAGGAAGACACCCTTTGTATAGGGAATGGTCGAGGGATCGCCAAGACTGGAGGGTAGGATATGTTGCATCAGGCTGCCAGAAGGGAGGAGGAGAAGTGAAATAATGTGAGAGAAACCAGGGAGAGGCAATCATTGACACCCAGAACACATACTGGGGGAGGGAGAAGGATTTTATCCAGAATCCTGGCTTGGGCTGCTGGTTGGCTAGTGATGGTGGTCACTGGGGTAGGTAACAAGCAGCAAGAGTAGATTTGTAGTGGAAGTTGAGTTCAGGTTTGTATGTGTGTATGTTGAGTTTGGGGGTCTGTGAGGACAAGACCTGGCCATGTCTAGTGGACAGTTCCCACATACTGATCTGGAGGTTGGGAATGTGATCTGGGGGCTGCTGGTGAGATTTGGAGATCTGAGACACAAAGATAGTGGTGGCAGCCAAAGGAATGAGTGAGCTTGCCTGAACAAAGTGGGAACCTGTTCTGGAGGGCAGGCGCGTGAGCTCATGTGCTGTCGATCCCAGTGTCTGACACATAGTGGTTGCTCAATTGGGTCTCTTTTTTGGAGACTGAGAAGAGAGCCTAAGACTGAACACTTAGTACCACCACCATGTAAGGAAGAGAGACTGTGGAGGTTGTTGCTAGAGGGAGAGGGAAGAACCAGGAGAGTGTGGTGTATAGCCAGAATTTCTCTCAAATGAGCCACATTGAAGAAACATAACTTGTTAATTAACTATCTACTTGTTAACAGAAGTGTCCTTTTTTCTATAGGCATTTCAGAATTTGCTACCTCTCCAGAGAAAGTCAGCGATTACATTTCTCCACTCTTGAACTTTGCTGCAGAGCATGTACCACGGGCAAAACACAAAGAGACGCCTCTCTACATTCTCTGCACAGCTGGAATGAGAATCCTTCCTGAAAGGTGATCCTCTGCATGGGATCAGGGCAGGCCAGGCCCGGGGGGGTGGCCATGGTGTTGGCGATGGTGGTAGTGGTGGTGTATCCCCCACCCCCCACCCCCAGCCCTTTTCCTTCTCTTCCTCCTCTTCCATTATCACCACCAAAAGGAAGACAGTAAAAATTCTTTCTTCAAATTTGGAATAGTACCAGAACTATTCCAGAACTTAGCCAGAACTCACCAAAAATCTTTTTATGTATCTGTTTATTACTATAAATAGTAAACTATAAAGTAAACAACTATAACTTATAAAGTGGTCATTAAAAAAACCCTGATTTTGTGTGTTATTAATTTAACGAATGCAGTTGTAGTTTTACATCTGGGAATCACAGAATTGACCCAACTCATGAAATTCCTTCCTAAAATAGTTTTATTCGGTGAATTACTTTGGATTTATAATTTACTGTTTTTGTACAGGATATACCAGAGCTGTAGTTTTTGTTTTGTTTTCTTTTGCTTTTTCCTCTTTTTAAAACAGGAAAATGTAGGCTCCATTTTGATGTGTCAATTTTGGGGTTGTCTTCCAGCCAGCAGAAAGCCATTCTGGAGGACCTCCTGACTGATATCCCTGTGCACTTTGACTTTCTGTTTTCTGACTCTCATGCAGAAGTCATTTCAGGGAAACAAGAAGGTTGGTATATTGGTCTTCAACTTGAAATTTGGGAAGTTACTCCTTTAAATCCTCCCCATTTTCCCAGCGTACACTTCATTAAATTACTTTTACTATCTTAAAATTGAGGAAATCATACCCTTGAAATATTATTTTTAAATGGCAAAATTAGTTTCTTATATGACTGGTCTTTATTATCCAAACATTAAGCCATTTAAAAAATAGCTTAGTTTGTCTTTACCACATCCAGGAAACATACATTGGATTCATTTTGATAGAAAAGATTTGTGTTCCTTGCCTAAGGTATACAGCTTTTTGTAATTATGATAATTACTGTGTTATTGGAGCTTTCTGTTGATTTATTTGCTACAAAGGGGAAATTATTCTTGACTTTGATACACTGAGAAAATATTAGTTCTGTTTTCATGTAAATGATTCTCCTTGAGAATGAAGTGACAAGTCAATGAAATATTATTTGGGGAAGAGTTTGCCAGAAATTAGAGACCAGAGCATTTATTTCAAAATCATCTATCATTTCAGCAAATACCTCCTCCGTCAAAGGCACTGTAGAAAATACAAACTGGGTGAAATTCAGATACTGCCATTGAGCTGTTTACAGACAAGTGAGGTACACAGTTAGCTGCCATGTGAGGTAGAGTCTTAGGTGCCATAAGGAAGATAAGGAAAAAGTACCATGGGAGTTTGAAAAAGGGAGATTTTTTTTTTCCTTGCTAGGGACATCATGGAACAAGTGACAATTTAAACTGTGCCCCCGGGGATAGCTAGTTATAAGCATGCTGGAGCATGGTAAGGGTAGGGCTCTGAGAGAGGGATAGGAAGTACATTCCAAGCAGAAGAAATGATTTGAGTCAGCATAGGTTAGAAAAGCTGCACTGTGGACAAGGGAACAAAAATAGTTGGAGTGGCTTATGGCCCTTTTGAAAGGTGGTAGTAATATGAAAAGTTGCCCAGGTCTTGGTGATGTCAGTGTCATGGCAACGTGAGTTGCTCCTTTTTTCTCTCCCTTTTGATTTAAAACTAATCAGACGTCGTTAACCCAGAAAAAGCAACTCTGCATAGGACACCCAACAGATCCATCCATCTGAATATGGGTGGCTTGAACCTCAAGGAGGCCGTGGAGCCAGGCAGGTGGCAGCAGGGGCAGCCATGGACCAACACAATTTTTCTAGCGGAGGAGGTGGAGGGTGAAGGTGGTGTTAGGGGTTTACCTGACAATGCGTGCCAGTGATCTCTCTGAGCAGAGATTGCAGTGACTGAGAGGAGGGAAAGGAAAAGGAGGAAGGCACAGAGAATGTGTTTCCCGCTGTCTACCCCAGGATTCTGGCAAGAGGATCACCCATGGACCTCTGAGATCCCCACCCCCACTTGCAGATCCCCTACCAGGCTGTGGGCACATTCAAAGCCCCAAGTACTAAGCACACACTTCCACCAGCTCTGCGGTCACCCTTTTTTTTAAATTACCAACTGTTGAACTGTTAGAATCAAAGTAAAAAAAGCCTTACCTAATAAGAAAGGTGTCGACAACTTGAAATGCAGCAGAAAGAGCACTTTTTATCAGACACTGAAAAATCATGTTAATATGGTATCACAAAAAGAACATGGCAGTTTTCCCAGTAATTGAGCCCAAAGACATAGAATATTTAAATCTAACTGATAAAGAATTTAAAATACTATTATAAGGAAATTCAGTGAGCTATAAGAAAACTCAAGCAAATACAGTGATCTCAGGAATAAAATGAATGAACAGAAGGAGTATTTTACCAAAGAGATTAAACTTCTAAAAAACCAAACATTCTGGAGCTGAAGAATTCAATACATGAGTTGAAGAATGCACTAGAATGCATTGGAAATAGAGCAGATGGAGGAGAGAATAAGCAAGCCTGAGGATGGGAATATAGAAATGGTTCCCTTAAAAGGAGGAGCAAGAACTAAGATTTTTAAAAAGTGAAGAAACCCTATGAGAACTATCAGACTCCATTAGAAGAACCAACATAAGATTAGAGGGTATCCCAGGAAAAGAGAGTGTATTTAAAGAGGTAATAGAGAACTTCCCAAACCCAGGGAAGGAACTGGATATGCAAGTCTGTGAGGCTAATAGATCACCTTATTTATCTCAGTGCAAAAAGACCTTCTCCAAGACACACCACATTAAAACTGTCAAAAGTCAGTGATAAATTATTCTGAAGGAGACTAGGGAGAAAAAACACAGTAACCTACAAAAGAAGTCCCATCAAGAGTATCAGCAGATTTCTCAGCGGAAACTCTGCAGGCCAGGAGAGAGTGGAATGATACTTTAAAGTATCGAAAAATACAAATTGCCAGCTGGGAATACTGTGACAAAGTTATCCTTTGGATATAAAGGCGAAATAAAGGCTTTCCCAGACAAACAGAAGCTAAGGGAGTTCACCACCCCGAGATGACTTACAAGAAATGTTGAAAGGAGCTTTTCAAGCTGAAATGAAAAGAGGAAGGTACACCAAAGTCTGATTAAGGTGATAAATAAAAAAACTAACTTTTTTAGAATAGTATATTAAACAAGGAAAAAGGTTAAATGAAAAAGAACATTAAAAGTAACCATAGCCACTACAACTTGGTCACAGCATCACAGCATAAAAAGGTAATTTGTGACATCAAAAATATAAAAGGGGAAGAATAAAAGGATGGAAACTTTATAGGCGAACAAAAATAAATTGCTACCAGTAGAAAAAAGACTGTTCTACCTACGAGATGTTTTATGTTAACCTCATGGTAACCACAAAGCAAACATCAGAGCAGAGACAAAACATAAAAAAAGGGGAGACTAAACAAACTGCAAACTTACAAAGGTAGACGTAAACAGAAGGAAGAAAACAAGGGAGAGACAAAATAACCAGAAGGCAAACATAAAATGGCAGTAGTAAATCCTTACATATCAGTAATCACCCTAAATGTAAACAGATTGAACTTACCAATCAAAAGTCACAGAATGGCTGGATAGATATAAAAAAACAAGACCCAACTATATGCCATCTATAGGAGACACATTTCAGCTCTGAAGACACATATAGACTCAAAAAGGATGGAAGACAGTATTCCAAGCAAATGGAAACCAAAAGAAGGCAGGCATAGGCATATTTATATCAGACAAAGTAGACTGGAAGTCTAAAAGGGTAACGAGATAAAGAAGGTCATTTTATGATGATAAACATGCCAGTACATCAAGAAGATAAAACATAAGTATATATGCTCCCAACACCCAAACATTGAGATATATTAAGCAAATACTAACAGGTCTTAAGGGAGAAGTAGAGAACAATAATAGTAGGGGACTTCAGAACCCCGCTACCAGCAATCATCCAGACAAAAAATCAACAAGGAAAAACATTGGAATTGAACCACATGTTAGCACAAATGGATTTAATAAATATATACAGGACATTCCATCCAATAGCAGCAGAATACACATCTTTTCAAGTGTACATGGAACATTCTCCAGGTTAGATCATATGACAAGACAGAGGAAGTCTTATTAGCAAGTTTAAGAAGATTGAAGTCATGGCAGCCATCATTTCTGAACACAATGATAGGAAACTAGAAAAAAGAGGAAGGTGAGAAAATCTACAAATATGTGGAAATGAAACAGCACACTTCTAAACCAGTGGGTCAAAGAAGAATTCAAAAGGAAATAAAAAATTGTCTCAAAACAAATGAAAATGGAAATAGAACATAGCAAATATTGTGGGATGTAGCAAGGGCAGTTTGGAGAGGAAAATTGATAGCAATAAAAGCAAATATTAAGAAATTAGATCTCAAATAAGCAATATAACATTACACCTCAAGGAACTAGAAGAATAAATGAAGCCCAGAGTTAGCAGAAGGAAGGAAATAATAAAGATCAGGGTGGAAATAAAATAAAAAATCATGTGATCATCTCAAGCATTGTAGAAAAAGCACTTGACAAAATATAACATCCTTTCATGATAAAAATCTTTAACAGTGGGTATAGAAGAAACATACCTCAACATAATAAAAGTCACATATAACAAACTCAGAGCTAACGTTAGACTCAATGGAGAGAAATTGAAAGTATTTCCTTTAAGATCAGGAATAAGACAAGGATGCCTACTCTCATCACTCCTATTCAATATGGTACTGGAAGTCTTAGCTAGAGTAATTAGGCAAGACAAAGGAAAGACACCAGATCAGAAAGGAAAAAGTAAAATTGTCATTATCTACTGATAATATGACTTTATATATAGAAAATCCTAAAGAGTCCGTCAAAAAGCTGTCAATCATTGAATTAACAGTTTCAGTAAAGTGGCAAGATAAAAAACCAACATATAGAAATCAGTTGCATTCCTTTACACTAATGATGAAGCATCTGAAAAAGAAAGAAAACGATCTGATTCACAGTGGTATCAAAAACAATAAAATAAGAATAAACTTAACCAAGGAAGTGGAAGATCTTTTCAATAAAAACTACAAGACTTGACTGAAAGAAATAGAAGAAGACAAATTGAAAGACAACCCATGTTCATGGACCGGAAGAATGAATTTTGTTAAAATTGCCATACTACTCAAAGCCATCTACAGATTTAATGCAATCCCCATCACAATACCAAAAGCATTTTTCACAGAAATAGAAACAATCCTAAAATTTGTGTGGAATCACAAAAGACCCCTAATAGCCAAAACAATCCTGAGAAAAAAGAACCAAGCTGGAGGTATCATGCTTCAATTTCAAACCATCCTACAAAGCAGTGTTAATAAAAACAATATGGTACTGGCACAAAAAAGGACACCTCAATCAGTGGAACAGAATAGAGAGCCCAGAATTAAATCCCAGCATATATCGCCAACTAATGCTCAACAAGGGAGCCAAGAACACCCAATGGGGGAAGGATAGTCTCTTCAACAAATGGTGATGGGAAAAATGAAGAAACACGTGCCTAACAATGAAATTGGACCTCTGTCTCACATCACTTGCAAACACTAATTCAAAAAGGATCAGAGAGTTAAACATAAGACCTTATACCATAAACTCTTTGAAGAAAACATGGGGAGGAAGCTCATCAATATTAGTCATGGCAAGGATTTTTTGGACAGGACACCAACAGCACAAATAACAAAAGCAAAAACCAATAAACAGGACTATATCAAACTCAAAAGCTTCTGCACAGTACAAGAAACAACTAACAAAATGAAAAAGCAACCTACAGAATGGGAGAAAATTTTTGTAAGCCATATATTGGATAAGGGGTTAATATCCAAAATATATAAAGATCTCATAGGACTTAATAAAACAGCTAAGAAACAATTTGATTAAAAACTAAATAAACATGGGGCACCTGGGTGGCTCAGTCAGTTGAGCATCAAACTCTTGGTTTCAGCTCAAGTCATGATCTCAGAGTCATGAGATCGAGCCCCACATTGGGCTCTATGCTCAGCCTGGAGTCTGCTTGAGATTCTCCCTCTACTTCTGCCCCTCCCCCCACATTCACTCGCTCTCTCTCAAATAAATAAATCTTTAAAAAAAAAAAACTAGGCATTTTCCAAAGAGGACATCAAAATGGCCAACGGCACATAAAAAGATGCTCGGCATCACTGATCATCAAGGAAATGCAAATCAAAACCACCACAATGAGATTTTATCTCATACCTGTTAGAATGGCTGTCATCGAGAAGACAAGGGAGCAGGTGCTGCCTAGAATGTGGTGAAAAAGCCTTATATATTGTAGATGGGAATGTAAATTGGTCCAGGCACTATAGAAAACAATATGGAGATTCCTCGAAAAATTGGAAATAGGTGTACCATACAACCCAGTTATTCCATTTCTGGGTATATACGCAAAGAAAATAAAAACAGCATTTCACCAGGATGCCTGCACCCCCATGTTTATCGCAGCATTAGTTACAAGAACGAAGATAGAGAAACAACCCAAATGCTCATCAATGGATGAATGGTTAAAAAAGATGTAGTACATACACACAATGGAATATTATTCAGCCATGAGAAAGGACAGTATTCTGCCATTCGTGACAAGATGGATGGACCTTGAGCACATTATCCTAAGTGAGATAAGTCTGACAGAGAAAGATAGTACTGTTTGATACCACTTACTTGTGGAATCTGAAAAAGTCAAACCTATGAAAAGAACAGTAAAACGGTTACCAGGGAATGAGAGGGTGATAAGATTGATGGTGTTTAAGGGTGCAAACTTAGAACGAGTAATAAATAAGCCATAGAGTTCTTTTTTTTTTTTTTTTAAGATTTTATTTATTTGACAGAGACACAGCGAGAGAGGGAACACAAGCAGGGGGAGTGGGAGAGGGAAAGCAGGCTTCCTGTGGAGCAGGGAGCCTGATGTGGGGCTCGATCCCAGGACCCTGGGATCATGACCTGAACCGAGGGCAGACGCTTTAACGACTGAGCCACCCAGGTGCCCCAATAAGCCATAGAGTTCTAATGGGCAGTATAATGAGTATAGACAGTAATATTGTACTCTATGTAATAGGTATCACTATAAGGGCAATCATACTACAGTGTATAGACCTATCAGAGTAACACGCTGTACACCTTAAACTTATAAAATGTTACATGTCTGATTTATTCAATAAAAATGAAAAGTTGGAGAGGTCTTGGATTGTCAGGCTGTGGAGTTTGGCCTTTGTTCTGGAGGTCAAGCCAATAGCAGAGAATAGTGTGGGATGGAGTGGAGGAGGAGGGCAGGAAGATTGACTAGGTCTCTGTGACAGCTTAAATCAAAGTGGAAATGAAAGTGGGTAAAGACTGGATAGAGGAAATGTTGTAAAAGGGAAACGAGGCTCAGCAACTGAGTGAAAGCAAGGGATGAAGGAACTGGAAGAGTCCGAGTTAATTTGTTTTTTTCAACCTTGCAGTTGATAGGTTTAACTTCATAAAGTAAAAACTCCATTATTTCAAAACAGTTTCAAACAGAAGCCGGCACTGAGGGAATTCTATTTTTGCCTATGTGAATGATAGGAAACTATCAATTTTAAAGTTGAGAGTTCTTGGAAAGACACTAGGAAAATATACATCAGTAGGGATGCTTTATTTCAGATAATGTGTTCACAGGTTGTCAGGGGGTAAAGTAAACGAGTTGTTTGCACTAACTGCATCGATAAGAGTTGTACAAAGTGTCTTAAAACTTTATCCTTCTTATCTTCCCCCCCATAAAATGTCTATAGGTGTGTATGCTTGGATTGGCATTAATTTTGTCCTTGGACGATTCGAGCATATTGAGGATGGTAAGTATCATGTTTCCAACAATGTGTCTGACCCGTCTGATGGCGGGTCTGTCTAATCCCAAAGGATAAAAAAGGAGCTAAGTTTTGTCTTTTAAAGATTTTATTTATTTATTTGAGATAGAGAGCATGAGCGAGGGGCAGAGGGAGAAGAAGAAGCAGGCTCCCTGCAGAGCAGGGAGCCAGATTCGGGACTTGATCCCAGGACCCTGGGATCATGACCTGAGCTGAAGGCAGACGCTTTACCGACTGAGCCACCCAGGTGCCCCAGGAGCTGAGTTTTGTGACACAGCTAAGCATGTAGGAGTAGAGAGAGGAGCTGCTCTTTCCCGCTATGAACTTGGCTTTAGGTGGGAGGAGTAGGCTGAGTTTGCCCAAGTGGGCTTGAAAGTACCATGAAAACAAGAGGACTCCTCAGAAGATCCCCATTCTCCAGATTGGTTCTGTTCCAATGGATGTTTCTTGTTCTTTGCAGATGAGGATGCAGTTGTGGAGGTTAACATTCCTGGTAGCGAAAGCAGGGAAGCTATTCTCCGTAAAAGGACAGCTGGTATTCTGGACATGGGAGGCGTGTCAACTCAGATAGCGTACGAAGTTCCCAAAACTGTAAGCTTTGCCTCCTCACAGCAGGTTACTATCCGTACAAATTTTCTTCCGTTTGGTTTGGTTTTCCTTTAACATGTCTCCATCCATTTTTGTTTTGTTTTCTGAGTCTGAACACATCTTTACTATGCTTCCTGAGGCCCTACCTTCCCAACCCAGGAGAACGGAGTCAGGAGGAAGCCATGCGAACCTCCGCTAAGCCGTTTGTGTTTGTTCATTGAAGTCAGCTGGTTTGTTTTCTAAACTGAGAGTTTTTGTTTGGTATAAATTTTAGTCACATGCTTGAATTTTTGTTTGTATTTTCTCTTCAGTTACTTCTTTTCTCAACAGATACTGTAAAACTTAATATAATGGCATCATATTCAGTTATAGTTGGGGAATGTACTGGGGTTTCTTTTCAGGCTCAGACAGCTTTTGACTTTTCTAGAAAGGATTGGGGTTTGTATGCACTGCTTGCACATTTCTGAACTTAGGGTTTCTTCTGTTTTCTCCCATGCCCCTCAGGGCTCGCAGTCACTGCCTGGAGTTTCCCAGTAGGCCGGGCAGCCTTGTATAGAGAGCACCAGAAATGTTTCCACATGTGTTCCTGAACTGCTGCATGTCTTCACGACTCTGTTACCACTCAGCTGTAAATTATTACCAAAGCCTGGTTTCCTACACTTTCCCCTAGCATGGTGTAATGGTTAAAAAAGTCTGGGCTCCATCATCACGCTGGCCTCACTAGATGTGTGACCTTAAGCACATCGCTTAACGTCTTTGAGCTAGGTTCTTCATCTATAAATGTGAATGCAAGCACCTCTCACACAGGGTTTTTATAAAGCTGAAATGAGATAGTGCATATATCTGATGTACTGCCAGCCACCTCGTGGTTGCTCACTAAATGTTATTGGTATATTTATTAAGCTCTTTACAAAAATGCTTTATAAATTCAAATATTACGATCTGTGTGTTCTGCTTTCATCCAGGCATGCCTCTAGAAACTATTACACTCTTTATTAAAAGTCATGTTTTCCCCCCCAAGACAAAGTAAAAAATACATAGAAAGTGAGTTTGGAAAAATACTGAAAAATCAGGGTTAAAACTTTTCCATGGGTGCATCATCCAAAAAAATCATTGTTAGCATTTTGGTGTATTTCTTTTCATTCATTTTTCCGTGTTTATGGTTTTTTTTTTCAAATATAGTTATTATAATCTTACTGTTTATACAATTTTGTGTCCCTTGTTTAACAGTGCATAAGCATGTTCCTCCATAAACTGTTGATTACCATAATTAACTAAACCCTCCTTGGAGTTGTAGATTTTTTTTTTTATCTTTTAAAACAATTTTTTTTAAGATTTTATTTATTTTTAGAGAGCAGGAGTAGGGGGGAGGGGCAGATGGAGAGTTTCTGAGAAGCAGACCCCATGCTGAACAGGGAGCCTGATGTGGGGCTCGATCCTAAGACCCTGAAATCATGACCTGAGCCAAAGGTAGACACTTAACCGACTGAGCCACCCTGGTGCCCCAGAGTTGTAGATTTAGATGACACTCAGTTTTTTCTCTCACAGAACACAGAGGTCGTCATCTTTGTATGTAGAGACTTTTCGATGTTTAGAATTATTTTTAAAGCATAGGCTTCAGTAAGTAGGTTTACTAGATCAGAGGATATGAACTATGTTGCTAACTTCCCTTTACAAAAAGCAACGGTATCACAGATGTGCAGCACATCTGGATTCTCTTAAGTCAGAATTGTCATATTGAAATCTGAGGGATGCTTAGAAGGGTCCTTGGGAAATGCAGAAGCAGAAATTTTTGCTGCTTTTAGATGAGAATCTTTTTAGATCCTTCTTTTTCACAGGAGGTAATTTTTTTTGTATTGCTTAAAATATTAAAGCTTTTTATCCTTGCATTTGCAGGAAGAAGTAGCTAAGAACTTGTTAGCTGAATTTAACTTGGGATGTGATGTTCACCAAACCGAGCATGTGTACCGAGTCTATGTGGCCACATTTCTTGGGTTTGGTGGCAATGCTGCTCGACAGAGATATGAAGACCGAATATTTGCCAGCACAGTTCAAAAGAACAGGTAAAGCACCTTCCACTTCTCAGGATTCACTTTCAAGAAAACATGGAGGCAAAGCAGGGAGACCTCAAGTAGCAGAAGTCTATCAGTGCTGTCAGCTTTTGACTCCCCTGCCAGCTGAGAAATGAAGGGACAGCAGGATCCCTACATTTGGCCCTGAATCCTCCTAGGCTCTGAAGGAAGAGCTCTCTCTCAGACCCACACCTCCCTGGATTAGAAATTTCACTATTAATGTTTTGAAATAGTTTTGAGCCCTGGGTAATGTATTTCACATTGCAAAGTCCTTGGGAAACTCAGCACCTGGGCCACTGCAGATGTCCTGGAGGCCTGCAGTAAGTGCTGATCAAATTGTCTTTGATGATGGAAGTGAATTATGTGATGTTCTGGTGTGTTCATTTAGTGGATAAGACCAGCCTGTACAGTCATTTAGTGGATAAGACCATAGAGAAAGAAGCTATTCAGGAAAAAGAAGTGATCTAGACGTCTAAGTTAGTGATCTTAAACATTTTCGCAGTGAAACTTCTAAAAATGAGTTTATGGGGTGCCCAAAATGGCGACCAGCCACTACCAGCATTTCCTTAAGTTCTGTGAGGACCGGCCAGTGGATGAGAGCAAACAGGGCTGGGACTTGGGCACTTAACCTGCAGCAGCGGGAACACAGGCCTTTCAGGAGGGAGAGAATACCCAGATTCCAGAGCCCAAGGCCTGTGGTTAGATGTATGAGAGCTTAGCCGATTCCATTCAAACTATTACAAACACAAGTACCCTCATCCCAGAGACATGAGCTTCATCAGCCTGTCCATGGAAGAGTACAAGCTGATCCTGTCCACAGACACTTTGGAAGAGTTAAGGAAATGAATAAAGGCATATGGAAGACACTGCAGGAGAAGTTTGCCCCCAGGAATCCCAAAGAGAAGCAGAAGGCCTGGGCTTGGTCCTTATCTCACCCATGCACCTAAGCATGGAGTCTTGTACCTTGCCATCATAAATAAAACTGCCCTGATTTACAAAAAAAAAAAAAACTGAGTTCATAAAAAATTTTGCTATAGAAAATATATAAAACAAAAGCAACACTTTATTTTTTTTTAAAGATCTTATTTGTCAGAGAGAGAGAGCACAAGCAGGGGGAGTGGCAGGCAGAGGCAGAGGGAGATGCAAACTCCCCACTGAGCAAGGAGCCTGATGCAGGACTCGATCCCAGGACCCTGGGATCATGACCTGAGCCAAAGGCAGACACTTAACCAACTGAGCCACCTAGGCAACACCTTAATCAGTTTAAATTTATAAGTTTAAGTATATAGCAATTATATATTTGAAGTTGGTCCATAAGAAAAGCAAAGCTGTTTGGATGAATAAAAATATCTGAAATCTGGGATTATATAAAATATTCTGTTAATTACTGTGTTTAGTTTTCTTTTTTTTTTTTTTGGATAACCAGTTTTGAGGGAAAAAATCCCAATTCGTAGAGTTAAATGGTAGTATATAATTCCTTGATCAATTTAATCTTGATAAACCTGTGGAGGCCTGAACTTTAAGAAAGACCAAGTCAGAGCCATTCAGTACCACATTTTCTAGAAATTCACGTATGTGAATAGGAAGAGCACTAAAAAACTTGTTCTTTTTCTGCTCCAGACATTAATTGAATGGTGTTAGTTAAGAGATTGGTAGTCCCATCGTTTCTTTTAAATGTGGTATATATTATAGTACGTTTTGGTATGATAATTTTTTATAATAGTCTTAAATAGAAATATTTTATAAGTGATGTTTGAATTAGAACTTTGGAGAAACACCTGCAATGCTAATTTTTCTAATTGGTTTTAATGTCAAGAAACTTGCATGACAGTTCAGTGGTCCTTCTTAATTAAGATGTAGGGCAACTAAAAACAGTAGTGTTGAAGTACATTTGACTAGTCTTGGACTTTTTTTTTAAGATATTACTTATGTATTTATTTTAGAGAGAGCGAGTGTGTGTGAGCCAGGGGAGGGCAGAGGGAGAGAACCTCAAGCAGACTCTGCACTGAGTGTGGAGCCTGATGTGGGGCTCGATCTCACAACCCTGAGATCATGACCTGAAATGAAATGAGGAGTCGGACACTTAACTGACTGAGCCACCCAGGCACCCCATCTTGGACTTTTGTAATAATTATAAACATTAGTCATCATTTTATACATATGTCATGAATTGAGCCTTGAAATGCATAGTTATCTCTTTGCCATAAGTAGCAATTGAGTTTTCAAAATAAGACATTTTTAATTAATGGCAAAGACCTTAATTTATTACATTCAAGTGCATTTTGAGTTGCCCTGATCTTCGGAATAAACAACTTGTCAGTTGAATGACTGATAGTAATATTTAAACACCTTTTAGACCCACGTGATGTCACGGTATCAAACACTAACATAAACGTGGTTGTTGTGAGCTCTTTTCTGTTCCTCAGTTGCTTAGCAGTGAGAAGTGGTGAGTACATACAGTGGGATGACAGGTCTTAGTGCAGGGACATTTCATCGGGAAGTCAGTCGTAAGCACAGTGCATTTCAGTGGACAGTTAAGATTTCTTTTCCATGGGACTTCTCAGAACCTTGTATTACAATAGAAACTCTCTTACCTGCAACAGTTGGGATCAAAAGTTGATTAATTTTTAAAAATCAGTTAAAACAGAATCAAAAATAGAATCAAACAGCAGTTTTATTTTGTTTTAACTTAAGTATTCATGTGCCAGTCTTTTGCTCTGAACTGAGGTCTTTTCTCAGGCTACACCCGTCATAGCTCTGGCATGCACTGCACCTGCTCATCTCAGTGTCATTCTGGCTTCTTGAAGACTACCAAGGACTTAACAGACATTTGTGAAGCAATTTGATACCAGTTCTTCTTGATTTTCCCCATTTTTTTAAACCTTGCTAATACTGAATTTGACAGCAGTTTTCAAGCAAGCACCTTGCCTTTATCTAAGGCTTGGAGCCTGGCTTAGATGGGGCCAGTGACTTCTTTCCATGGTCACATTTCATCTCTGTACACTGAAACCCACAGGCTCTAGTGGCAGAACAGGATTGGAAACGACACAGCTGGTGGGCATTCACCTGCAGTGAACTTGAAACCGAGAGGAGCATAGGAACCACAGACACTCAGGCTGAGAGTGCCAGGCCACATTCCAGGGTACGGAAAGCACTGGTCATCCGACAGGGTAGCTGTCTCAGTGGACCCTGTTACAGTGTCTGCCCTACACACATGTGGATGGATGGTGAATCTCCAGGAGGGGCCCAAGAACCTGTTTCCCTAACCTTATGATCCCAGAACACTTCTTCATTCCCACAGAACACCTCACAGAGCTCATGGTCCACAGAATGTCTTAAGAAACACTGACTTGTAGCTGCTTCTTCAAAACACGTCTTTCTGTCAGTCTCAAATCAAGTTTCTCTTTGTCCTGTAGGCTTCTGGGGAAACAGACCGGTCTGGCTCCTGATACTCCATACCTGGACCCCTGCTTACCCCTAGACATTAAAGATGAAATCCAGCAAAATGGACAGACCATGTACCTCCGGGGAACAGGAGACTTTGACCTGTGTCGAGAGACCATCCAGCCTTTCATGAATAAAACGAATGAGACACAGACCTCCCTCAACGGCATCTACCAGCCCCCGATTCACTTCCAGAACAGCGAATTCTATGGCTTTTCGGAGTTCTACTATTGCACTGAAGATGTGTTACGAATGGGGGGGGATTACAATGCTGCTACTTTTACTAAAGCTGCAAAGGTAACCTTCAAAGAAACCCTCTTCCCCCGCATGCTTTTGAGAGACTGGTGTAGACAGTGGCAGCTTATGTGCCTCCTGCACATTGAGAGGCCCGGGTCAAGAGAAGGGGAAGGTGGAGGATGGAAGGGTGTAGTGCAGCATGTTGGGGATCCTGTTCCCTTGGTTGAGCAAGAGCCATAGTCCCAGCAGGAGTCAGAAGTCCACGGTGAGCGGACTTCGGCCCACCACTCCATGAACCGCTCTGATCACGAGTGGCTTCCAAATGACAGACTTGTATACTTCTGGGTAATAATGTAGCCATGATCTGGCCACACTCCTGGCAGCCTTCCTGTCCCTTAGCTGCCAGGACCCCTGTTCTCTTGTCGGCCCCTGCCTTTCTGATGGTTGCTTAGGCTCTTTCAAGGGTTCCCCACCTTTATACCCCTTAACCCTGGGTGATCCCCAACAGCCATCTTTGGCCCTTGGACCTTCAGGCTCTTAGACGGTCTCACCCATGCTCATGGGTCGCTGCTACTGCCTGTCAAGAAGAGGGTCCAGTCCTGACCCCTGCCTATGAGATTTCATGTCCCAAAACAAACCCACCATTTTCCCTTTGTTCCTCTTGTTCTGTGATGTTGTCTGGGTTAATGGCATCCCTGACCATCTAGTCCACCTCCCAGAACTCAGGAGTTCTAGACTTCTCCCCACCATTCCTTCCCGCCTCGCTGCATATGCCCCATAATCAGTCAGCAAGCACATTACTTGATGCATGACCATTTCTCAAAGCCTTCCCTATGTTCCATCCTGCTCTCACTGCCTTAGTGAAGCCTGCGGCTGTCACCTGTAGGAGCCTCCCAGTTGGTCTTCTTGCCTCTGGTCTCCCTCCATTGTCCATTCCTCACGCCACTCCCAGAGAGTTCTGTCCAAGACACAAGTGCAGTCCTCTCTCCTTCTTAACAGTCTTCAGCAGCTTCCTTTTGTACCAGTATAAATTGCAAGTGCTTTCACATGTCATCCCCACCCGGGAGCATCCTCTCCCCACCCAGCACGCATGCCCTCACTCTCATTACTGCAGACTTCATTTCCCTGACATCCAGCCTACTTCCCTCTTTGTTCACAGTGTTTCCTCTGCCCTCAATGCCTGTCCACACCTCTCAACCCAGACCGAGTGCTGTTCTGTGTTCCCTGCTGCACGTTTCACCATCTCTCAGAGCCTCAATTTCTTCGTCTTTTAAATAGAGGTTGGAATCCTAGCCATGCCAAGGAATGGCTTTAAGTATTCTGTTCAGAAAAGGCACTTCGTGCTCAATAAATGTTAGCTATTAATATTTTTACAAATAACTTCAGGAAAAGATGGCACCTCTTGCCCTTCTCGTAAAGACAGGCCTTTTGTAGTCATGTTGGTGTTCCCAGGGCCTTGCACTGTGGAGCCACAGACCTAGGGACCCACTCGGACCTAACTGAAGTACCACTTCACTTTTCCGAAAGTTTCTGCCTGTCACAGGCAGTCACACAGCGGGAAACGTAAGCAGTTTTGAAGAGGTTGGTTGTGGGCAGTGAAATTCTCTGTAACAATAACTTCAGCAGCATTTTAAGACAGAACAAGCACTGTCTTTGCTAATCAGTATTTGCTGGAAGCTTCTGCATCCTGTCTTCATATTACACATAGACGTTAAGCTTGTGTTGCCTAATTGGAAGGATCTGTTTGTTAGGAATATGAATTTGGTCAACCGTTTTTAAAATGAAGAAACTGTTAAACCTTTACCAATGATTTCTTTGGGGTGAAATTTCTTCTAGGATTATTGTGCAACAAAGTGGTCGATCTTGCGGGAACGCTTTGACCGAGGACTCTACGCCTCCCATGCCGACCTCCACAGGCTAAAGTAAGCAGTGGGTAGCTGAGCCCATGCGGTTGCATGGAACCATGCTTCAGTGTTGGCACCTGGCTTGCCACACCCTGGCCCCAACCTGCTTTTGCATCCTCATCGATCATTGTTTCTCCTCATCTATCCTGGGGCTCCTTTCAGACGGGACAACAGATACTTGTGTCCAAACATAGCTGACAGTTTTTTATTCAGTTTTGCTGTTCCTTCCACCTGGAGTTCCCTTGTTCATTCCCTGCTTGTAGAAGTCCTGGCCAGACCGCAGAGTCAGGTCAGACGCTGTCCCTTTCGAGTCTCCCTCTTGCCCATTCAAGCAAACTCCATCCCTCTGTCGGTCTCCAGAGCACGCATTATGTCTCCCTAGTGGCATTTATCAGATTCTGCCTTACTTCATAATTCTTTGTTGCTTTTTTAAAATCCTGTCATTATAAGTCATTTAAGTACATGGGCTATCTTATTATTTGCTATTATATCTCATTACTAACTTAGCACTTTGCAATAAGTAAGACTCTGATATTTACTTTGCAATAAGTAAGCTTCTGATAAATATTTAGAATCATAGAATATCAGAGTTGAAAAGGACTCTTCTGCCTTCTCATTTTATAATTTAAAAAACTGAGGTCCAAAGAAGTTGGGACTTGCTCAGTATTAGACAGTAAATGATGGAATGCCTGAGGAAAAAAATCTATCATAGCAAGGTATGAAATCATACCGAGACCAAGTTTCATGCGCTAACCAATTTTGGCAGGTGAACTGTTTCAGGTTGTGGGACAAGGGGCACAAACCAAGTCGATCAACTGGAAGTGTATAGGGTTGTTTGGCTGCCCAAAGTGCTGGCCTGTGCACCCACCGTGGTTGCGGGGGAAGGACACCTCAGCGTACGGTTCATTTTGACAAGTAAATGAATCCCATTTACGTTTATGCTTGGTGTTCATAGGTACCAGTGCTTCAAATCGGCCTGGATGTTCGAGGTGTTTCATAGGGGCTTTTCGTTTCCTGTCAACTATAAAAATTTAAAGACAGCCTTACAAGTTTATGACAAGGAAGTTCAGTGGACGCTCGGAGCAATCCTTTACAGGACCCGTTTTTTACCCTTAAGGTATGGCTATGGATTTGGTACCAAGAAAAACAAAATAGGCTTTTCTGCATTATGATACAGCATGGCAGCTGTGGTTTGCGGTTGTTTGGGGTGCGTGCTGGCCGTGGACAGGACTGTAGACCAGAGTTTGACTTTGGCCTTCCCCACCCGTGCTTCCTTCCCACCCATCCCATCCTACGCAGCACAAAAGCTTTTGATTATTCTCAAGCGTCTTTCCCTAACCCCTGCACAGAAGAGCTGTTTCTGGGGTTCTTCATCTTTATGGCTTTGGACTCCTCCTCAAAATACTGTTCTTAAGGTATAAAATAAATAACATAGGGTACAGAGGAAACCCCCGTATTGAAATACGTTTATCAAAATATTACAGAACACATGCCTGTGACATATTTTTGTTAACACATGAAATAACCAGTCTGGCAGCAGAGCTAGTACTTTCTGTGATTTCAGTACAGGGACATGTGTCAGTATTTTGAGGCATCTGCAAACCACCACAGTGTGATATAAAAGATCTTCAAGCTTCCCCACGGTCAAAGTCACAAGTACTGCTGACACTGCGGTTCTTTGCTGTCCACATTCATGGTCAGTGGAAATGCCAGTCAGAGACTGGCAAGTAAAGACGGACATTTCCCCGTTCACGTTCACAGACTGGCTGCCCGCTGACCCCACGTAAGAACCCTGGGGCACTGATAAACGAGGAATTTGCTTCTTGGGTTTTTTTTTTTCCCCTTCATCTATTTGAGCAAGTCCCAGCAGTCTGTTTAGCTGGCTCACCTGCAGACTCTGTGAGTAGTGGGTATTACAGCTCACAGACAGGTGCTCTCGTTCCACATTGGCTTCTGTGTGTTAGTGAAACTGTCACCATTCTTTTACATTTCTCTGATTTTTGTTTCCTGAATGACAATGATGGTAACTGCCACAGACTTATGAATGCACTTTCGTGTGTTCTCTTGTTACTACTTACAACCACCCTCTGTTACGCCACATTAACTTACATTTTAGAGGTGAGGAAACTGAGTCTCAGAGACCAAGATGACAGTTTTTGTCTGCAGCGCCGAGTCCTAAACCAGCTCCCTCTGGCCCATATCCTTGCATGTTGTTCCCATACCCTGTGCACTGTTCCTATACCCTGCGCACTCTTCCCATACGCTGCACGCTCTTCCCAAACGCTGCATACTGTTCCCATACCCTGTGCACTGTTGCCATACCCTGTGTGCAGTTCCCAAATGCTGCATACTGTTCCCATACCCTGCGCGCTGTTCCCATACCCTGTGTGGAGTTCCCATATGCTGCACGTTCCCATACCCTGCGCGCTGTTCCCATACCCTGTGCGCAGTTCCCATACACTGCATGCTGTTCCCAAACGCTGCATACTGTTCCCATACCCTGCGCGCTGTTCCCATACCCTGTGCACAGTTCCCATATGCTGCACGCTGTTCCCAAACGCTGCACGCTGTTCCCATACCCTGCGTGCTGTTCCCATACCCTGTGCGCAGTTCCTATACGCTGCACACTGTTCGCATACACTGCACGCTGTTCCTATAGCTTGCACACTGTTCCCATAGCTTGCACGCTGTTCCCATACACTGCACACCGTTTCCATACCCTGTGCGGTGTTCCCATATGCTTTGCGCTGGTCCCATACGCTGCACACTGTTCCCATACCCTGCGCGCAGTTCCCATATGCTACACACTGTTCCCATAACCCTGTGCACATTTCCCATATGCTGCACGCTGTTCCCATATGCTGCACGCTGTTCCCATACCCTGCGCACAGTTCCCATACCCTGCGCGCTGTTCCCATACCCTGTGTGCAGTTCCCATACACTGCATACTGTTCCCATACCCTGTGCGCAGTTCCCATATGCTGCGCGCTGTTCCCATACCCTGCACGCAGTTCCCATATGCTGCGCACTGTTTCACCGCGTGGCTTGCCTGATGAGTCCCGTTCTCGCTTACCTGTGGTATTTGCTTTTGTTTCCATGCGAGCAGAGATATCCAGCAGGAGACCTTCCGGGCCAGTCACGCTCACTGGCGGGGCTTCTCCTTTGTCTACAATCACTACCTGTTCTCAGGCTGCTTCCTGGTGGTCGTGCTCTCCATCCTCCTGTACCTGCTGCGGCTCCGGCGCATTCACAGGCGGGCACCGCGCAGCGCTTCGACTGCCACCCTCTGGCTGGAGGAAGGCCTTCCATCCCAGAAGATTGCCGGTACCTTGTGAACGGGAATTCGAGAGCCCCGCGAGACTTTGTGAAGGAAAAGCCATTTTTTGCCTCAGGGTTTCTCCTCTTTATTCTCATTTGGTTTTGTTTTTCCTTTCCCAATTTTTGTTCCTTGAAACAAAAACAAAATCCATTGTTTGTAAGCTCTGCTGTCCCAGAAGTGTTGCATTTAGCCATTTTGCATACAGCTTTAAATTGAGGAGCAGGGAAAAGGGAAAATCACTTCATTCTTGCTGCATAGGATGGCTACCTAAGACTTTGTTTTTCTTTGAGGTATGTTCAATTTTAAACAGATTCACTTTGATACTGGAGGGAATGGCAAAGCTGTTTTCCATCAGAGGAGGTAGCACTGAGAGTGATGTTTTCTCAGAACCAGAACACGACTGGCTGAATCATAGTCCACTTTTTGTCTATTTCAAAAGCTCTGACCTACACAGGGTGATGTGTAGTTTTTATTTATTGTTCAGATCTGTCACTGTATGTTTTCTTTGTAGGCTTAAAAAATCAAAACCATTTATACCCAAGATAGAAATATAGGAACCAGGAGGTAACTATTTTTAAAATTGATAATCCTGGAAGATGTGAAATAATGACTACAGCAGTGTGTGTGTGTGTGTGTGTGTGTAAGAGAGAAGAATGTGTGTGTGAGAGAATGTGTGTGCGAGAAACCGTGTGTGAGATGTTTTTGTGTATGTGTGAGAATGTGAGAGAGTGTGTGTTGAGAGAGAGAATATGTGTTGAGAGAATATGTGAGTGAATGTGTGTGTGAGAGATGTTTTTGTGTGTGTGTGAGAATAGAATGTGTGTGTGTGTGAGAGGGAGAGAGAGAAATGATAAGATGAGAGAATGCATTGCTCTTTCTTTTAAAAACACACACATGTAGAAAAATCCCCATTACCATTGTCTTTCATGACCACAGTAATGACTTTCTCATTCCCACCTTTCAGCAGCCCTAGAATATTATGTCCTTGAGTTGGAAAACTCATCAAGTTTCACTGGTCTCAAGGTCATGAGAACTGGAGCTAGAGCCTGCTGACAGGCACGTCAGCATTTCTTAGTGGTACATTTTTGCTGGTTTAATGTGCTCCAGTTTCTTCCAACTTCAAGTTGGTGTTCCCCTCCCTAATGAAAAATGGTCGCAGCAGTTTTATCTTGGAGACCCCATACTTAGCTTGACCGGTTGTCTTTATTACAGGCACAGCTGAGGCTGTGGTGGTAATGCCACTGTAAATCCTGACTAAGAGAAGGGCCTGACCTTAATACAAGAAATAAACTCACAGTTTGAGAAAACAAGTTCAACATTTTAAACAGAAACCTAAAGAGAGCAACTGGATTGGCTTATGTGAGATTGGTTGTTTTTCACCTATTTAGTTTAGAGGCTTTGGGAATTCTCATACCTAGTTTTTTTTAGGTGAAGTTCTTTTTGTGAGTGTGTGTGTATATGCATGCTATTTCTTAATCCCAGAACAGTTAAATTCGTCTGTTTGGTAGCAAATGTGTATTTTGAGAATCAACAGCTGCTTCTCCAGACAGTATTCATTAGAAAAAGGATTCAGATCCTGAAGCCCTTATTTAACTTTTAAAAAATTGGGTTTTACTTAATGTTTATTAACTATTTAAAACAGGGCATATATCATATATATATTGATGACTTGAAAAGATCACAAATATATAAAAGAAATGCAGATTCTCTTACTCTGCTCTTCAGAGTGAATATTCCAACAGTGAGAAAGTTATTGGTAGAATCTTTGTCTCTCAGCTCTCCAGAAGGATGGAGGAGCTCGGTGGCCGTACAGCCTCTGGTGTGTGCTCTCGTGTCAGGGAGGAGGGAGATAAATGTCCCTGTGGAAGACCCAGATTCCGAAACGCTGGTCTCCAGCTTTTAAAGTGCTTGGTCCCTGGTAAACACTGTTCCTTATCAAGACCCAGCCACACACGGGCAGTGTTGTAGATACCCCAGGAGTAGAGTGAGCTGGCATGCTTCCCCTTGAATCCTCGGACGGGGCCTGTTCTGTGGACTGTGGGTGGCATCAGTGGTGAAGAGGAAGTGTGTTTACACTTGAGCTTTCCTGCCGCCAACCATTGGGCGTAGTAAGTAACCTGGAAATGAAACTCTTCAGACACCTGGAGTATGTGATTTTGCCTTAAAACCAGGCAAGGGTTAGCCAGCATAGGCCTAAATTTAAATGGGCTTTAATTAAGACTTACTACCATAAATAGCCACCTTTTAAGTAAACAGTGCCAATTTGGTCCAGCTCTGTACCGTCTGGGGAGCAGAATGGAGACAAACAGGAGTTCTGCTTTATGCCTGGTCTAAGGATCCCTGGGCAAGGACCTACCTCACTGTCCAAAAGAAATCCCAAATCAGGGTTCCAAGGCCCAGACAGCCTTATACTTTACATAGTTAAGTGCCCATGTTCCCCTGCCAAAGAACTCCTTGGCAAACTATTGGCCACAGGGAACATCTAGAAGACTCTTGAGCTGCGAATGGTTTTTCAATTCTGAAAGGGTTATTAAAGAAAAAAAGGGAAGAATATGCAACAGAGACTATGTGTGACCTGTAGAGCCTAAAATACTTATTAAATGTCCCTTTATGGACAAACGTCCTGTTAAGACGTTCGCTGACCCCTGCACGGACAGTCTCGTTCAAGAAAGAATATGCATTGGCATTCTCTTAATTCAGGACGCTAGTTACCATTTGTGGGCATGGAAAGACAGGCAAGAGAAGAGACCAAATTTCAATCTTAAAATATGTGAGTATGCACCAGAATTCCACTTCATCTTTCCCTTTATTTTCAAGATCCGTTTTCTCTTAAGCCAGCAAACATGCCCTCCCTGACAGATTTAAAAAGTGCTGTTCGGGAGGGCCCACCATGTGGTGCTGAGAGGCCTGTGGTCTCAAGAGGTTCACACGTGGCTCTTTCTGATGCCGCAGAGGGCCAGGCTGCGAGGCAAGGATGGGAGGAGCTTAATTCAGGAGGAGAAGAATTCATATCAATTAAGGGCTGGCCAGAAAGGCAGGGAACTGGGAATGCTTGGAATAGGAAGCAAAAGAAATTGGACCGGTGGAAACTTGCTAAGAGCCTTGTGGAAGAGGAGGTGGAGCAAGATGGCAGAGGAGTAGGAGACCTGGATTTCGTCTGGTCCCAGGAATTCAGCTGGATAGGGATCAAACCATTCTGAACACCTACGAACTCAATAGGAGTTCGAAGAAAGGAATAGCAACAACTCTGAACAGAAAAGCGACTGCTTTCTGGAAGGTCTTTTCTGATTTGTTGAGTGTATATTTTCTGGGGACATTGTTACCCTGTTAGCATTTTGTTCTCTCATTCATCTATTCTCCTCTGGACAAAATGACAAGACGGAAAAATCACCTCAACAAAAAGAACAAGAGGCAATACCGACTGCCAGGGACCTAATCAATACGGACATTAGTAAGATGTTGGAACTAGAGTTCAGAATGATGATTTTAAAGATACTAGCTGGGCTTGAAAAAAGCATGGAAGTTATTAGAGAAACCATTTCTGGAGAAATAAAAGAACTAAAATCTAATCAAGTCGAAATAAAAAAGGCTATTAATGAGGTGCAATCAAAATTGGAGGCTCTAACTGCTAGGATAAATGAGGCAGAAGAGGGAATTAGTGATATAGAAGACCAAATGATGGAAAATAAAGAATCTGAGAAAAAGAGAGATAAACAACTACTGGATCACGAGGGCAGAATTCGAGAGATAAGCTATACCATAAGACAAAACAAAATTAAAATAATTGGGATCCCAGAAGAAGAAGAAAGAGAGAGAGGGGCAGAAGGTATATTGGAGCAAATTATAGCAGAGAACTTCCCTCATTTGGGGAAGGAAACAGGCATCAAAATCCAGGAAGCACAGAGAACCACTCTCAAAATCAATAAAAATAGGGCAACACCCCGACATTTAATAGTAAAACTTACTAGTCTCAGAGACAGAGAAAATCCTGAAAGCAGCTCAGGAGAAGAGATCTGTAACCTACAATGGTAGAAGCATTAGATTGGCAACAGACCTATCCACGGAGACCTGGCAGGCAAGAAAGGACTGGCATGATATATTCAGAGCACTAAAGGAGAATAATATGCAGCCAAGAATACTATATCCAGCCAGGCTGTCATTGAAAAAAGAGCCTTGTGGAAGAAAAACGCTCTCTGTTGAGCCTTGCTAGAAGTGCTACAGGCAACACTGTTGTCCCATCCTCGTGCCGTGTGATGCTTCTTGCTAAACCTCCCGAGGACGCGAGCGAAGATTTTACAGTCCACTGAGGGACATCACAGTAAGAGAACAAATATACCCATTTTGTACCAGTGCTTTTTGCATATTTCCACCCTAAACTACTGGCATTAGGCCTGGGGGTAAGCTGGAGAAGCTGCCTGCTGCTAGTCCTGGCTCCCCCCTGCGCCCCGCTCCCCCACCCCCCAGAGCCTGGGAAGGTCGCTTGTTCACCACCCATTGTCCACACCTGCGCACTCATGCAAGCTCTAGATTGACAGATACTTAAGTTTTAAAGATCAGGCCCGCATAGTTTTCTTTAGAAGAAGCATGCGTCACTTAGGAAGCTCGGAAAGGCAAATGTGTTTTCTAAACTTAAAAAAAAAAAAAAAAAAAATCAGCTTTAGGATTTTGTGTGGTTATGTGCAATGCAGCAAAACTACCTACATGTAAATTATTTTGTTATTTATTTCTACTTCCGTGTTTCATTTTTTATGGTACTGATTTTCCTGTTCAGTAATGAATGATGTGACCAACCCAGGAGAATTCTTTGTTCTGTTACTGAGATGATATTTTACAGTTAGGAATTATAAAAACTAAGATTTTTAAATGTTTTTTTTTAATTATTATTTAAATGATGTTTTCCATTCAAAGTAAGAATAATCATCTTTGGGGTATTGTGGTGTCATATCATTTTCCATGTTCGGCCACTTCATGTTACCACACTTACACACAGATGAGTGTCGAGAACCAATAAAATGAAAGCTCATCCGCTCGTCCAGAGACTCTGTGTGAGCTTGCTTTCTTATGACTGAAATAGATTTTTCTCTGCTGTTCGAATCTTGTTACCTGTTAGAATGCTTAGTTGAACCTGAATCTAAATTCAGTACAATAAATCGTCCGAGTCTGACTGCACACTCCGCATTTGCTGTATTTGTGTGCGTATAAGGAAACCCTGTTGTCTGGAGGGAGGGTTCCCTGTGTTCTGCAGCACAAAAGCCAAGCGTTTCCCAAGGAGAAATATTTACCAAGGTGTAATATCTACCCATGTGTCAACAATAACAGCCATTCTGAAACAACTGTTGATAGGGTTATCATTTTAAAATACCTGTGAACTATGGAATATAGCCCAGAAAATGGAAATTAACCAACTTTTATGCATTTTTTCTTATAAGTAGCTATTACAATGCTAACTTTATATTACACAATTCTGCAGTTAGATCTAGGCTTAAAATCATTGGCTTATTTCCAGAGAAACGTGAATCTCACTATTGTTACTAGTAACTATTAGAAATGACAACTTTTTTTTCAGCTACTTGAGAATATAAAAATAAAGGTTTTCCCTGGGGTGGGGGCGAGGTGGGCCTGAGACATAACCCAAAAAACAGAGGATAGAGACAGATGGAGAGGGAAGGGGGCGGCTGTTAACAGCAAAAAGAAGAGCCTAAGAAAGATGTCCAAGAAGGGGTGAGGGACGAGCAGAGCAAAATGCAAGAGTGGGGTGAGCACAGAGGCACGGGGCTTGGAAGGCAGGAGGAATGGCATGATAATATTGAAAGAGAACGGACTTAAATAATTTCTGAGGTAGCGCGGTAAATGTAGGTCTTTGGGCCTGAGGGTAAATACATGAAATACTGAAGGCATCTAAAGATGTCTAAATTTTACTCCACTTGATTCAAGAGAAGTAAGTACCTGTTTCCGACGGCTGCCCATGTTACCAGGGCCGAAAGGCAGTGGTTTGGGATTTCTGTTTGTTTGTTATCTATTTCCATTTGTCCCATGAATCTGGAATGCACCAGTGGCTCTTTTTTTTTTTTGAGATCCTGAAATGCTAATGGTTTGCACAGGTTTTGGCACTCACCCTGGTCTGGGAGCAGAGACGCGAACATCATCTCTATCAGAGTCAGACTGTCTTCTTACGGAAAGGTCACCAGAGGACAAAGGAGTGTCCTTTTATCCCACAGGCCTACATGGCAGATTGGGCCGTTTGCCTGGAGCATCCGCGTCTGTGTGAAACCAAATACCTTGAGGTGTCCTCCCAGCCCCACCTTGTCTGGGAGCCCGATGGCCTCCGCAGGCCATCTCACCTCCTTGTAACAAAAGGAGAGGTGACCTGTCGAGGCATTTTCATTTGTTCTTAACAAGCTGTTGGGTCCTCCTGCCCGGTGCAGCATTGCCTCTGTCTCTGAATGCATCCATTAAGGGGGACTGAGCCCTGCCACAGCCCAGACAGGGGCCGCTCTGGCCTCCCACCTTTGCCCTTCACCCTTGATCCTGTTGGGCAGGTGGATTACCTCTGGGCTCCAGACTTGACGGCCACTTAACCGTTTCGTCAACAGCCTGTTGTGTGTAAGAGACCCAAATAAGAAGCATAAACAAGAAAACGCAGCCTTCAGAAGGATTTCTGCCCTGAGAAAAATACTGAAGGCTTCTCACAGAACATAATGGTGGTGGTCACAAAAGACAGGCATCTTGTCTAAACACATAAACTCAACTAAATGGAGGGGAAAGGAGACTTTTTTTTTCTCCTGAAAAAAGGAGGAGGAAGGGTTGGTCTGTGGCCAGGTCATCATCAGAAGACAGAGTGCCTGCCTCATTCCCAGTGTGAGACTAACTCTTTTCACTGCATTATTTCTAGAAGGTACACAGGCTGGCTCTTCTCACTGTTCTCCCAGGCTTATAATTGGTAGTTTTGATACCACCTTTCACCTTTTTTTGGCCTCTGGTAATCAGGGCTTGAAGTGGGCAATTTTGGAAAATGAGTCATGCTCTTTTTGCCTGTGATTTCACAGCTTCAACTCCAGGAACCAGTGCCCGCACTTTCTCCTAAAATTGCAGCTTTTCCACCCGGTACAAGCTTTTTTTATTACTTAGATCTGAGATTCAAAAAGACTGAGACACGTAAATATTTAATGGGTTCTACTTAGCCTTGTGAAGTTGTTTATTCCCGTCATGAGCAGCACAAGAGGATTTTCTGGAATTTCCTGGCCTGTCTCCATTCTGTTCAAATTACATGCTTAGATCACTTTCAGCCTTCGGTGACCCTGTGGTCTGTCAGTGTGTCTGTCCGCCCTGAAGCTCCCTGCACGTGGGTCATGATGTGCTTGCTCCCTGTATTTTTATATTCATAACTAAGCCGAAGAAGAAAGACTTTGTAGCATATAGTTCTTCCTAAATATTTGTCCTAATCAAAATCTGGTTTCTTTGTCACATCACCACTTCAGGTTCCTAGGGTTTACGAAGCACATCTTTTTACACATCTCTCATTCTCCGTCAGCTTTCTTCTTTCAGGATTGTCGAGCTTTGTGCCGTTTTTTAGCATCGCCCGCGGCATGATGGGCGGGGGGACATGGGGCTCCAGGGCCCTCAGCAGTCCCCTGGCTTCCTCCTCCCACCGTGGAGTTCGCTCAGGGAGCGGTGCATCTTAGAGCTCTGTTTAGAAAAACTTAGGAAAATCAAAGTTACTTCAAGTGGCTTCCTTTCTTCTTAACCCACTCAGTCCTGACAAAAAGGAGAAAGAAACCCCAGAATCAGGTAGAAATGAGTAGGGATAAAGTAAGATGGATGTTTCCCAAAGCCAACTTAGAGGAAATGATTTCTGTATATTGATCTTATTCTAAGCATAACTTCAGAATTTTTTTTACTCTAAATTATCCTTAAAAGTCACTTACTTTTTAACACCCCCCCCACACCTCCTAAAGCACCAAATGTAAGGGAGAAAGGATGAATAAGGAAATACCAGAAGAGGGGCCCCAGGGTGGCTCAGTCGGTTAAGCATCTGCCTTTGGCTCAGGTCATGATCCCAGGGTCCTGGGATCAAGCCCTGTGTCGGGCTCCCTGCTCAGCGGGGAGCCTGCTTCTCCCTCTGCCTCTGCCCCTCCCCTGCTCGTGCTCTCCCTCTAAGGCTCTCTCTCTCAAATAAAAATCTTTAAAACAAAAAAAGAAAAAGAAAGAGTGCACCTGGGTGGCTCAGATGGTCAAGCGTCTGCCTTCAGCTCTGGTCATGATCTCCAGGTCCTGGGATCGAGCCCCATGTCCAGCTCCCAGCTCAGCAGGGAGTCTGCTTCTCCCTCTCTCTGCCTCTCCCCCTGCTTGTGCTCTCTCTCTCTCTCTCTCAAATGAATAAAATCTTAAAAATAATTTAAAAAAAAGAAACTCCAGAAGTAAGGATTTCTGTTCAGCCACCATAGTCAAAGCTAACAGATGGCAGATTGAGAAGGTATTTGCATTGACTACAATGGACAAGGGATTAATATATATTTACAAGGTTTCTTGCAAGTCCTTCAATGACTTGCTGCCCCAAGAAGGCCCAGCCAGCCCCCTACTTAAAACTGATACTTCTTCCTCTCCCCAGCACTGTCCATCCTCCTTACCCTGCTTTCATTTTTTCCCCCATGGTGCCACCTTGTAGCATACTCTACATTCATTATGTTCATTGTGAAGCTCTCTACTAGAATGTAATCCATGGGGAGAGAGGGTTTTTATTTCATTTCAGTGTTCTATCCCTAGTGCCTGACCCAGGATCTGATACACAGTAAAGACTCAATAAATATTTGTGGAATGAAAGAAAAAAGATCCTTATGGCAGGAGGTAACTGGGGGATGAGAACTGAGGGATATGCTTAACTCCACCTTCTACCCCAGCCCGTGAGGCAGGAAGCAGGGCTCAGACTCCTTCCTTTACTGTGGGGGGAAAGAAAGTGCTTCCGGTACGGAATCATGCCAACTGCATAATAGTGGTCTACGATGTGCCCGGCAGGCTGTTTAAACACTTTATTAATTTACGTGATCCTGAAGACAACATCATGAGGAGGTGCATTTATGACACTCATTTTATTGGTGGAGAAACTGACATGGAGAGGTTACATAACTTGCCCGCAGCTACACAGCTAGTAAGATGGGGGCTGGGATTGGGAATCTGGCAGCCTGGCCCCTGTCTACTCAAGAGCCAGTATGGCACAGGAAATGTGGCCAGTCCCAAATGAGATGGGCGGTAAGTGCAAAACACACACCAGACTTCAAAGACTTAGCACACAAAATTAAGGGAAATATCTCAATTTGTTCAGATTGGTTACATAAGACATGATAATATTTTGGTTATATTGAGTTAAATAACAGATCATTGCCACCTATCTTACCTTTTTTAATATGGACAACTAGAAATGTGACTTGTGCACTTACGTTTCTATTGGACAGCACTGCTCTAGGCCCTTCTCAAAGCATGGTCCCAAGACCCGTGGCATCGGAATCACAGAAGCCTGGTAGACAGCTGGTCTCAGACCTCCTGAACCAGATTCTTCATTTTACAAGGTCTGCAGGTCATTCGTAATGCACGGTGAAGGTGAAGTGCTGCTCTAGACCAGGAGTCAGCAAAAGTTTTCACCAAAGGGCCAGCTAGTAAATACTTTAGCCTTGCAGATCATACGACTTCTGGCCAAAACTTACTTCACTGCTTTGTAGTGTGCAATGTGTCATAGACCATATGTAAATGAATGGGTGTGGCTTTCTTCCAATAAAACTTTTTTTTTTCTTCACAAAAAGCAGTGGTAGGCCAATTCTTCCCACGGGCAGTTTTCCAGCCCCTACTCTAGACCCTACACTACGCTGGGGCTAATTTTAAGAAAACGCATCCTGCCTCCAAGATCCCACCCTCTGCCTTTCATTTCCTTCCAGACTCCTCTTGGGAGTTACCGACCCTGATTTGTTTCCTACCAGACGTTACTTAGGTGTCCCACAGGATCCTGAAACTCATGTCCAGATATGAACCCCTCTTCCCCCCATACCTCCTCTCTCTATGCACCAGCTGGTAACTCAGACCAGAAACCTGGAAACATTCTAGATGATTTCTTATCACGCTCTCTCTCCATCAAATCAGTCACCAATCAAGTATCAGATCCACCCTTTTTCTTGG